CCCAAATCAGTTTGGTTTTCAAAAAAATCTCTCTACTGAGCATGCAATCATTGAAATAGTAAATCAAATAACTAATGGTTTTGAAAATAATAAATTTACTTTAGGAGTATTTCTTGATTTATCAAAAGCATTTGATACAGTGGACCACTGTATTCTCTTAGATAAATTAAGACATTACGGAATAGTTAATAAAACTTATTATTGGATTAAAAGCTATCTTACAAACAGAAAACAATATGTAAATAATGCCCTATCTGGAGTGTTAAATGTCGTATGTGGAGTTCCGCAAGGATCGATTCTTGGTCCACTTCTTTTTTTAATATATATAAATGACTTCTGTAATGCATCCTTAAAACTTAATTCAGTCATGTTTGCAGATGACACGAATTTATTTCTTACCAACAACGATATCAAGAAATTATATGCGGACATGAATATTGAACTAAATAAAGTAAATAACTGGTTTAATTCTAACAAACTCTCACTTAATACCGAGAAAACAAACTATATACTTTTTCATAAAAGAAATACAAGAAGAAAATCTTCCTCTCAAGTTGCCGAACCTATTTATAAATAATAAATTAATTAAAAAGCAATCCAATATAAAATTCTTGGGAATCGTTGTTGATGAAAAATTATCCTGGCTTCCTCATATAATATATATCCAGTCAAAAATTACCAAAATCATAGGTTTAATATATCGAGTTCGCTCGTACATTAATACAAATAGTCTTAAATTAATCTACTTTGGGCTAATTCACAGCCTCATCAGCTATGCAAATATTTCATGGGCAAGTACTCAAACAGCAAAGCTTAAGAAACTTTATAGTTTTTAGAAACATGCATTTAGAATCATTTACTTTAAAAATAGGCGGGAACACGCTAATCCCTTGATGAAAGATATGAAAATGATGAATGTATTTGAAATAAATATCTACCAGCATTTAATTTTCATGTATCGTTACAATCACAATATCTCTCCTATAAGCTTTAATAATAAGTTTGAGTTAAATAAAAATGATAACTATAATCTTAGAGCGAATATGTTGAACACATATAAACTGCCAAGGATAATAAATAAGTATTCAAAGTACAGCATTTTATATAGAGGTTCAAAGGTATGGAATATTTTTCAGAAAGAGTTCAAAGGTACGGTGAGTTCGAAGTTCATTCAAGTTTTTAACAAATAAAGAAATCTTTAAAACCGGTGAAACATTTTTTGTTAATAATGCTTTGGATAAATTCTCTTAAATATGTTTTTGTTTTGTTTCTACTTTTGTTTGTTGCTTGACAATTTTTATTAGCGGATTACGCATTTTGTTATGATATTTTATTGACATTCTTATTTTGTATGTCATATTACGATATTTTAATTAAATCTTGTTAAAGGGGTTCTATGAAAAGATTGCGATGACGTTCTGTCATCCTCATCTTCTTTGAGTCCCTATCTGTTTTACTTATTTTGTTAAATTTTATATTATGTAGTAGAATCTGTAAAAATTCTTATGTTATGTAAACAGAGGAAAAAAAAAAAAAATTATTTTGTTATAAACAACCAGTATTATTTTATATTATATTTATATTGTGATTTTTATATGGTTCTGGCGACAAGATCAATATGATCGTCTTCCAGGTTCTAAATTTATATGTTTATATTACATGTAAATCACGACATGTAAATAATGTAAACTAAAAAAAAAAAAAACGATTTAGAGGAAAAAAAATTTAGGGGAAAAAAATTCTTCGCAATTTATCATGTTATAAAATATCTTAAATGCTATTTTTTGAAAGACTTATTAATACATATTGGAGGCAATTTTTTTTTTTTTTTTATAACTTGATTGCTCCAGTTATTTTTATTAAACAAAAAAGTTGAGCTGATTTAAAAGTTCTTAACATGTTAAAGATCAGTTCTAATCTTAAAAAACAGAGTTAAACCTCAAACTCTTTTATACATTTCCACTGAAATATTTCATAAAGTTTTGATTCATTTTCGTCAAATATCCAGTTTTGAAGAAATTCTGCCCCACTGTGCGACATTGCCACCATTTTTACGGCGCCATCATAACAGCATTACTGAATCAGGGAATTAGTGAAATGGTTGTTTTTATTTCAGATGATTATCTATATATTTATAGAGATCTTATAATTTATTTTTTATTAATAAATTAATTACATAAATTAATGGACATTTAAAAAAAAGGCTTTTATCTTTTATATTATATTGAAGTTTTACATTGTGCTTTTAAAAATTTTAATGTATCTTTAAACTGTAAAGTCCACAGGGGCTCTATAAAAAAATTGTGGAAACTTTCACTCCTATCTTCTCTGAGCCCTGCCTTTTTTTTTTTTTTAATACTATTTATTTTATGTATTAGTTTTTTTTTACTTTATATATATATGTATATATGTATATATATATATATATATATATATATATATATATATATATATATATATATATATATATATATATATATATATATATATATATATATGATGATGATGATGATGATTATATATTTTATATATTATTAAAGATTTCCAGAAAGTTAAAGGAATGCACTATGTATTATAGAGTCAGGCCGTGGCGCACTATGTATCATAGAGTCAAGCGGTAGCGCAGTGGTTAAGGTGAGTTTCCACTCATCCGTTTTTTCACGGGAACGGGAAAGGGACGGGAAAATAATCACGTTGGCATGCGTAGAATAACTTTTAATATGTCTGAAGAAAAACTACGCATGCTCACATGATTGGAAACTCACCTTTAGAGCGCTTGCTTTATAAGCAGGAGATCCAGGTTCGAAACGAGCTTTGGACATATTACGCGTCACGGTAAGGAAGGAGGCGTGAACTTCCTGGTTAAATGCACTTCTGCAGTGCTCTGTGACAAGAATACTGTGGAACTGCATTTAACCAGGGACACCTAAAAATAATAACAAAAAAAAAAAAAAAATTTAAGTGCAGTTCATGCATGGTCACGAACGGAACCGTGCACGGAAGTTGCGAATTTGTCGAGTTCATGAAGTTATTTTTATGAAAATAAATTGCTTGTGAGTATTTCAAGCAAAATATGATATTTCTACGACTCATACTTAATATATCTTCGATGAGAAATAGCAGTCATCAAATATTTCTAGCTAGAGTTTAGCTTTTAAAAATATTGAATATTTTTCAAACTATTGGGACATTAACACACAAAAAATATAAAATGATACAAATATACATATTTAAACACTCAGTTAGCCTAAAATTTGATAACAATATTTTTGTTATAATTGTTCTTTAAGATAATCATTATAGTATATATATTTTTTAACTCCCAGGCTTCTAATCGTAAAAACAAAGAAGAATAAAAAATATCGCGCAGAAATGGAATTACCAATAATAATGCTTGTCAAAATTACTTCCCACCTCATTCACCAAAAAAAGACAAAAAAAAAAAAAATAATAATAATAATAACAGAAATAACAATTTATATTAGAAAATATTTTTACTTAAGTTTTTCCAATCAATTATTTTTATTTAAAATAAAAATAATTGATTGGAAAGTTATGGATTATTTGTCACATATTAATATTATCAAGCTCATTTTCAGATAATAGTTTTATCTAAATTTGCTTGAACTTTTTCATTTTTATGTTATTTTTTGATAACGAAAAGATTTTTGTAAGATTGACATTAAGTCTTATTATTATGAATATATATAAATAGACTAAAAAAGTTATTAAACAGATTGTTTAGAAATACAATATACTTAAACGGCCAATGTTCCGATCCTCAAGACGCCCCACTTCAGTCATTTTTCTATGCAGAGACGGCATCAAATAGTTTGGGCATGTCACCATGCCCGACTCTTTGATCTCTGTAATAAGCGTCTAATACATCTAAACGGTTTTGATAAAAATAAAAAAGACCTCAGCAACTCTAAGAATTACGTAAAAAACGTCTGGACGTTTTAGTAATAAGTGAAACCGCAAAAACTCTGGAACCGTGACAACCAACCCAATACCTGTTGCATAATACGTGTTGTAAAACTATATTTATTTATATTTAAAACGTGTTTAAAAAAGTTTATTTTAATAACAATTTTGATATTTCCTGCTTAAGTAATTCAATAAATATTTGAACCAAGCAATAAGCAATAGTCGATTTGTATAGAATGCAGATAGGTACGCATGCGCAAAGTTATTGCTTAAAAAATTTATTCTCTAAATATCAGCTAATTAAAAATTTATCAAAACAAATTATTTATACTCTTTTATATTTACTTTATTATATTTAAACTTCAAAATGAAATTCTTTCGGAATAATTTTTGAAGTGTTTTTTTTTCCCATAATTAATCGCAAATATCAAACAATTCATTCCACAAGCATTTTTTCTTTCTTCCAAAAGCATAACAAACAACGCCAAAACTCTTTTTCCTTTATTATTTATTGAAGTTTATTGTATATATTTCTCATTTAGTTGCCTTTTTTTTTTAAATTTGTTTTTTGTGTTAGGTTTTTTTTTTTTTTTTTTTTTTTTAAAGTAAATCTGTTAAAGCGTTTATATTGTAGTTATATTGTTTTGAAAGTTTATTGTATAGTAAATATATATTATAGTAATTCAAAATAGCAAATTTTATTTTTTTTTAACTTTAAATTATAAAATTTGAATCATGGTATAAGGGTTTCAGTTTTAATATAGTTTAAATTATAAAATTTGAATCATGGTATAAGGGTTTCAGTTTTAATATAGTTTATTATGATGACAATAAAATCCTGAGCAGCTAAATACTAAAAAATCAGTAAACGAATATTATCTAAAGTTATACTTTTATTTATAAATTTAAAACAACAATTTTAGGTATAAAACTTTTTATATTAAAAAAAAATTGTGATAATAAAAACTAATTACTGGGAAGAAAAAAATTCTTAATGTTTAAATCCTTTCCTATTCAATTGTTATCGCTCCTAATTATTCGAGTAGGCGTGTCTACAGTTAAACAATGTTGATAAGTTCTCTTGGTCCGTAATAGATAAAAAAATATCTGACAAAAAGCGATTTTTATTTATTTTGAAGAAAATATTATTCATATTGAAGAACAAAAATGTCGATAATATTATTTTTTTTGATATGCAATTATATTCTACACTATTTACAAGGTAAAGGAATAAAGAAAGTTATTAGTGCAATTTATTAAATTTGATCTTTCATTTATTAGTAAATAATAAAAAAAAAAAAAATCGTTACAAATTTAATGTATGCAATTCAATCTTTTTTTTTTTTTTTTTTTGCAAAGAGAAAATTGTTTTCTTAGTTTGCACATTAGATTTTAAAAATGTTAAAACTTGCTACGCATTTGCTGTTGTTTAGTTTTTTGAATTTTATTTCAAGTTATTGAATGTTACTATTTCTAATATACTTTTTATATTGAAATATTATTATTTATTGTTTTAGCAACTAAAAGAGCTCTTTTAGTTTCTGCTCCTGTGGGAGAAAAGTTTTTGTAGACTCTTTTTCCTTAATAATAAGTAACTGGTATATGCATACTGAGAATTTAAATCAATAAGTTGAACTTTGTAAATTCGTTAAATTTGTAAATTTGATTTGTGGACCAAATACCAAAAAATATAGGAAAGTTTAATTTTAAAAATAAACGATTAAGTTGATTAGGGTTTCTAATTTTTTACCTCCTCATAGTGTAATACAAAACACTTAATACAATCAATTTTACATTGTTATATCAGAATAAAAAATAAGTCATTCTTTTTGCATTATATTAATTTTTGTACTTTGTTGCAAATCGTTTGCATCAGTTACAGCTTGGCATCTATGGCGCATGCCACATCATTTTTAGCATTTTTTATATACTCCATTTCCAGCATTTTATATGCATATTTTATTTTTTCTTACTTTTTGTCATTATCTTACTGAAATATATAGTTTTTATTCGAAAATAGATGTTTTATTCTTAGTTTGAATTGGTGAACTAAAATATAATGGTGCTTATGTTGGTTGATTATTATATCAACTCTGTATATGTTTCCTATGTCATAAGCAGCAAATGCACCCTAGACTTTTTTTATCATGTTTTGCTGTGACACGTGTACACTCTGAAGTATATGGTCCACCTTTTTTTCCATATTCTTTCTCAATTATCATATTGTAGCGTAAAAGGTGACTCACCTGGTAATATCACATGTTTCTGTTGATTTAAAGTCCAAAACAAAAACAAACACTTGTTTAAGTGATCTGTGCATCATTTCAGTCTCTTATCTTAGCTATAAAATGCTTAGAACAACTTAACATTACAAAAAAAAAAAAAAAAAAAAACAGTATTAAGTTATATGTAATACTATTTAAAGAGGAAAATTTTGAAGTAAAACATAAAATATAATTTTAAAGAAATCTGTTTTTGACCTGTCATTAATTTGTAGGCCTGCCTCTTTTTTTATATATTTTTTGATTTCAGTTATTAAAATAGTGTAGTATTATACTAACACAGAAAACCTAAAAAATCTCAATCAATTTTATTTTATTTTTAAAATGTATATAATTTTTTTATTTTTCATTTTTTCATTCAAAGTTTCAAGTTTTTTCTGAAGTTTAGTTAAATTTCAATATTTTATTTTATTGTTTTATTCAAAGATATAGTGCAATAGTAGTTCTAATTTTAATTTTAAAAATAAATTTTTAAAATAAGTGACACAATATTGAGTTTTATGACTTTTTTAAAAAAAAACATTGTGTCCCTTTTTTTTGAGAACACTCTCTATATAAGTGTGTGTGTGTGTGTGTGTGTGTGTGTGTGTGTGTGTGTGTGTGTGTGTGTGTGTGTGTGTGTGTGTGTGTGTGTGTGTGTGTGTGTTATATATATATATATATATATATATATATATATATATATATATATGTAATTTTTTTTTTAATTTTTCATTCATTCCCAACAAGGTTGACAGAAGAAAAAATTGTAGATTGTATGAGTGTGGGGATCAAAATTAGACAATGTTTACAATGCCTTTTTGGACCTTGTCTAGAAGAGAAAGAATATCATTAGAAAAACTAACTCAAATATGGCAACAGTAAACAGGAGCGAATAAGAGATTGTTAGAGGTAGAGAATGGAATCAGGAGTAAGAAAATGGCTAGCATGATGAAGAGAAGCAAATGATAATCCAAGAAGTTATAAAGAACAGGACTCGATGAGAAGGTTGCCATTTATCAATGTAGGAATGTCAACATTGTGATAGTTGTTTGCAGTAAATACTCTAAGAGCTTGCTAATTGTAAAAGAAGATTGATCAAATGATATTTGGAGGGGTCAAAATGTCTTCCAGAGTTTTTAAAAACTAGAAACACAGATGCCATTTTCCAGAAAGCAGGAAGACATGGTTTAGATAGCAGGAATGTTGTCTGTACCACAACTTGTAAAGAAGTTTAAGTGAGATATTACTTTAGCAACCTGTTTAACTGGAAGAGTACGACCATCTTTTAATTCAACTTATGAATCAGGTTGAGTTAAAAGAAAAGTTCTTTTCAAATAGTTCAGTTTTATCCTTGGAGAGGGAATAAGATCAGTTCCATGAATGAGAGATGAAATCTTATATCAGCATAGATGAGTTTTTTCTGGGAATTCCTGGAATTCCAGAAATTCACTTAAAACTCCTTTAATTTTCCAGAAATTGCATTACGACAATGTTTGCATTTAAACAAAAATGTTTTTTATAATTTTATTTTTCATGAGATCAATTTTTGTAACAATTTTTTTTTTTTTTTTAATTCATTCATGTTAACTTTTTTTCGCATATTAGAAATTCCGTTTTGTAAAAAAAAGGAATTCCATTGGAAAAACAGAAAAGTTGAAGAACATTTAGTAATCACCTGAACGGTGCAAAACAGTTAAAGAACCTATAAATGATCATGCAAAAAAGTGCAGAAAAAGCATAGCTAACAAATGTTTTGCCGCAGAAAGTTTAATAATAAAAAGTATTGATTTCTAAACCATTGTCTTACATTTTATATTTAAAAAGTAAAGAAATTATTACACCTTGCAGATTGTTTACAGTAAAACTGAGATTAGAGAATTTTAAAGAAACATAATTATTCATTAGTTTTTAGTTACTTTATTTATCCCTTTACCAATGTTCCATAATTCACCCACATACCTTTGTCAATTTGTTGAATGTATAGTTTTCCAGATTTTTTATTAAAATAATTTTCTGGGATTTTCATAAAAGTAACGTAAGCAACTTTTTAAACTTTTATTCATTTTTTAACTTTTAAATTATTCTATAAGTGGTAAGATAAAAGAAGTAATTAATTTTATAAAAAACATAGATGAGTTTTTTCCGAGAATTCTAGGAATTCCGGAAATTCACTTTAAACTCCTTTAATTTTCCAGAATTTGCGGATGTTTTTTGTTATTAATTAAAAAATAATAATAATATATTTTTACGTAAAAATTTAAATATGACAACTTTTGCATTCAAACAAATATATTTTCTATAATTAAACTTTTCATGAGAACAATTTTTTTTCTTTTTTTTTTTGATTTTTAATTAATTCAAATTATCTTTTTCGAATATTAGAAATTCTTGTAAAAAGTTGAATAATCTAAATTCCGTTTTAAAAGTCTATGAAAGTTTTTGTTGTCTGTTAAAACGTTAAATTTTTAATAAAATAATTTTCTGGGATTTTCATAGAAAAAAATTTCCGGGATTTTCTTAAATTCATCTATGAAAAAACCACTTTGACAATAAAGTAAAAGTTTTTTTATTAAAGTTTGAATGACAAATATATTGGAAATAGTCGCTATTTACAAATGAAGATAGTTCAAACTTAAATTTAAAATTAAAACAAAAAAAAAAATTAACATAAATATAATGCAACAACAATCATTATGTTCATTGTTCTCATGAAAGTAAAAGTCTGTTTTTTTTTTCTGACTTTTTTTAATATATTGTTATTTGATATTAAGTTAAGTAATATTATTCAATTTTATAATTGGATGAAAATTCGTCAGAAGGATATGAAACTTCATCAGAATGAGATGAAACTTTATCAGAATGAGATGAAACTTTACCAAAAGGAGAAACATATTCTTATTTTTTAAAAGGATGAATTCCTAATGTGTTATAATAACTTAGATACAATATTTGGTTAAATTAGTTATTTACATAGTTTAAATGTGTTATGCTAACATAAATAATAGCATAAATAAATGTGTTATGCTAACATAAATACAATATCATTTAAATTCTTTACATAGTTTTTATTTGACATAATCATTATTACCATTTCTTTACTGTTATTTAAAATCACTTTTGTGCTAGATGCTGGGTTGAATAAAAAATTTGTGTGTTATTTAAACATTAAACTTATAAATAATGTTAAATGTTTTTCTGTATTTTGCTATGTATTAATACTATTGCAACTTAGGTATCATCCATAGGGATTCTATCCTTAGGGATCATCCATAGGGATTTCATCCTTAGGGATCATCCATAGAGATTCTATCCTTAGGGATCATCTATAAATTATGTAATGCTAAGTAGAAGAACTTAAACTCTTCTGCTCGTCAATTTTCATCAATTTTAATAAGCTATTTTCATAGTTTAAGGACTTTAGCAAAAATCTAATAATTTATAGTAAATGCTTAAACATTTGCAAGCAGGGCAACTAATGAAGATACCCTATGATAAATGTCATTACTTTTTTTCTAATTAAAATTTAGGAAAAATAAGTCAAGTTGATTTTTAAAGGTGTTAACTGAGGCGGCAGATTTGGAAGGATGTTCCAGTCAAGTATGATCATATAAGATATGAAAAATGGGGGTATGATGGAAAATGGGGTTAATGAAAAATTCAAAAACTAATAATGGTTTAATAATAAAATATGTTTAATTTAAAATAATTTTTAACTCTAAAGTTAAAAAGAAATTTTTATTTTATATTTAATCTTTTTCTATTTTTATTCAAATATCAATTATATATACTTTTTACAATAAAATTAAAAATTTTGGATTAAAAATGTTTATAAAACAAATAATTTGCATTGATATCAATTTTTTTCTGTTACTTTAGCAAAGTATGTTTATTTTTATTGCTTCATCAGCAAAATGTGTTGTTGTTTCTTTTTTCTGACAGCATCAATAGCTTTGTTGCTGAAAAAAAAGCCTGATTGTGTAAAAAAATTCAAGTATCTCAAAAAATAATAATTTTTTTTTTCTTTTTAGTATTAGCTTTGGAATGTTTTTGTAGTTTTCATTGCCCTCATGGAAGCACAAATGAGACATGTAATACAAATTATAAATGTTTTGCAACACTTGAATACCTAGAAGGTACAAAAACAAAAGAATACAGATATGGATGTATGCCTCCTGAATTTGAAGGTTTTTTTTTTTTTAATTTTATAATTGATAAATTGTTTCTATATGAAAAACATTCTGCTTAATATATGAGTACTCTGCAGACGTCTGCTAAAATACTTCATGTTTATTTACTACTGTATATTTACTACAATAAAGTATTAATACTGTAGTAAATGTTTCATTTTATAAAAGTAAAATATAAAACTAATAGGATAATAAAAAAAATGTATAATGAAAATAATGTATATGACAAATACAGAATATAATATTCAATAACTGAATATAATGAATTGTTAAAAATATTAAACAACAATTTTAAGTTTGTTTCTATAATTTTTTAAAGTTTATATAATGTTTGATTATGTTAATAATTTTTATTTAAATTGATTTAAATATTTTAAAATACAATTAGGAGGTATTTTTCAATGTCGGCAGAAGCATATTCAACACGCAGTACCCATGGTGCTTAAATGTTGCAATGATCAGCCTAGATGCAATGAGAATTTAATACTTGAGATTCCTATTGAAGAACAACAAAGATATGAAGAAAGCTGTAAGTTTTTTTACAAAATTAAAAAAAAATTAAATTGATATAGATAAATAGCAGTGGCATCGCTGGAGTTGGTATCACCCAGTGCGCTAAAGTCAGGGTTGGCAAAAAAACCCAACCCAAAAAAACCCACCTTAAAAAAACCCAAAAAAACCAAAAATAAATTTGGATTTTTTTAAAAATGTAATTATTAACTACTATTTTACAACTGATAACTCTGATTTTAACACTTATAAATGCTTTATTATCAGCAAATGCAACTTTTATGCTGTAATTACTCTTGTAAACACTGTATTTATATACATAATGGTATTAGAATATATCCAAAACCGATCAATCTGTTTTTGTAGCAAGTTGAATATCTATTATTTTTTTAAAACATATAGCAAGTTGTTATAAATGTTATTCAAATATGTATTAAAACATTAAATTAGTTAAATACGTATAAAGGAAATAAAAATCATTCTATTAACTAAATTTCAAGACATTACAAGTTATTTAGTTTCTTTATTCTCCTCTCGAATGTCTATATTTCCAAACAAGCATTTTATATATGTCATTTTATATTGGTATTTGATCTTTTATTTTTTAAAGCTTATGTTACTAACTGCAAATTTCAGTACAAAGCCACAAGCATAATGCTATATATAAAAATTATTAAACTTTATTTACAGTTTAGAAATGGAAAGTTGTCAGGCAAAAAAAAAATCCTACAGTTTACTAGACTTATCTATATTAAGTTACAACTTAAAAACATAAAAAAAATTAAGTTATGTGCAAGTTTGCAACATATTTGCTCATTCAATGAGAGAACATGTTGAAAACTTGTTTGCATTTCACAAGGACAAAGATTTATTGGTAAAAGTGATACTCGTGCTCATTTGTCTTTTGATAGGTTTCAAATATTTTGCATCAGCTACAAGTTTACAACATGTACCACCAACAGCGGTGACTATGAACAGCAGGTTGAAAGTGAACATCAGTATCAAGTTGCACAAAGGTGAAGAAACACACACAATAGAGCTATATAATGTATTACTTTGATTCAATTGCAAAACTGAGCTGGTAAAACATCTTCAAGAAAAAAAAAAAGAACCTGGTGGTGAAGACACTGTAATGGTTCTTAACAAATTCATTTTCGATATTTTAATAACAACCAAAGCTTAGGCAAAAATCCATTTTTTGCCTAAGTTGATCAGGCTAATAATTTTTCCAGGAAGCTGGACAGTATAATGTTCTGATAAAAAAAATGTAGTGATTAGGCTAAAAGTTTTCTTCAATGATGCAAAAATATTTAAAAAGTGTTCATAGTTTATATAACTAGTTTCCAACATTTATATTGTCTTACCAACTTTGAATAACTCAGTTGTCATAATAATTTTTATAGTGATTTTTTTTTTGTCAAAAATATTCTGAACATGTTTTTAATTTAGTGCAATTAATTAACATCATTTATAGTTGATGGAGTCCCTTTTTGCACTATAGTTAAAATGTGCTAGTAGACTAGTAGTAAAACATTTGGCTCGCAACCAGAAGGTTGGGGTTCAAATTATCTCTGCTGAAATTACTGTGCTCAATCTATTTCTTTGAACAGTGCATTTGTGTAAAAATTTTAGTTGTTAATGTTGCTTGTTAGTAAAAATGGTAGTGTTAAGGATTGAGACAAAATATTTTTAAAAAATGAGTTGCTTCCTTGACTGAAGTGGTCATTGGAGCAATAGGGAGGTGAGTTTATGAAATTAAAAAAAAAATAATATTGTACTCATACAGTTATAAAAATTTGGTATTTTGATCGGTTTTTAAAAAAACCCAAAAAACCCATAAAACCCAAAAAAAAACCATTTGGGTTGGGTTTTTTTTAAAAACCCTGGGTTTTTTCCAACCCTGGCTAAAGTTCTGGTATCACCCCTCTAGACTTTCACTAACAGGTCTGATAACACAGGTTTCGAATTTCTGAAAAAAAAAAAAAAAGGGCTTTAAAAAAAAGTTAAGACACACAAAACACATTCTTTTGATCTTGAATAGAAGACAAAAGATTTTTGTGTGAAATAAAGAAGACAAAAAATTTTTGTGTGAAATAAAGAAATAAATAATAATAAATACAAGTGTTATTAATAAAGAATACTGAAAAGTCAAAACCTAAAAACTGTTGGTTAGGCCAAACGCAAAAATAAATTAGCATGAGCTCATCATATTTGCGTTTTTTATTTTGGTGTCATCCCTCTGTGTCAGGTTGTGATGGTGTCACCTGGTTCAGCCCACACCCTAGCGATGCCACTGATGTACAGTAGTACCTGTGCATTCTTTATATACTTTCTCTAATAGTTTCTTAGTTTTTTTAATTTTTTGCAATTACATTGCAAATGGCAGGTATTTTTTTAATGGATAGAAAGAACTTTATAAAAGAAACAATAAAATAAATCAAGAGAAAAAAAGGACAACAAAAGTAAGGGATAAAAAAATCAATATTAAGTTTATTTATCATTTTAAGTTGTTGTTTATATGTTTTTTATTATTTTTAATTGCAGCATTGTTACTATAATTTTTAAATTGTTTTTTTTTTTTATATATTTTTAATTTTTCTTTGTTTTTACAGTTCATTTTATTGAGTTGTTTGTAACTATATAAATGTCATCTTATTAATGTAAGATTTTTGTAAATTTCAAAAATATGGATGATATTAAAAAAAAAAATTAACAATGAAAAGGTTTTTTTAATCTTCCCTTTTTTTTAAGTTAACAAACACCACGTATTTCAGAGCCAGCAAATTGCATTGGTAGTTTCTGTCACACTTTCTATCATTTTTTTTGCCATGTTTGCAGCATACATTTACTTGAGGTAAGGAGTTACAAGCTTTTTGCTACATTTATGTTCCAAGTGTTTATTTATGTAACAAGTGTTTGTTTAGTGTTTTATTTTTCATTTATTTTTTTCTTATTTCAATAAAATAATATGTAATATGTCAAATAATAAAAAGTTAATTTTTTGTATTTTAATTTACAGGTATATAAAGTTGAAAAAGCAAAAGAAATCAAATTGTGACAGGCAAGTTATGCTTCCTCCTGATGAAAAAACAGAAAATTCGACTTGTAGTACTGGATTGAAATCAAAATTGGTGATTTTTTTTGTATGAAATTGAAAAATAATGTATAAAGTTTTGAGTAAGTTTTTTGAAATGAAAGTGAAACCAAAACTGAAAGTAAAAGTTAATTAAAAAGTAATAAGTTAGTTTTTTGAAATGAAGGTGAAACCAAAACTGAAAGTAAAAGTTAATTAAAAAGTAATAAGTTAGTTTTTTGAAATGAAGGTGAAACTAAAACTGAAAGTAAAAGTTAATTTGAAAGTAATAAGTTAGTTTTTTGAAATGAAGGTGAAACCAAAACTGAAAGTAAAAGTTAATTAAAATGTAATAAGTTAGTTTTTTGAAATGAAGGTGAAACTAAAACTGAAAGTAAAAGTTAATTTGAAAGTAATAAGTTAGTTTTTTGAAATGAAGGTGAAACCAAAACTGAAAGTAAAAGTTAATTTGAAAGTAATTTTTTGAAATGAAGATAGTTGGTGGAAGATTTTCTTTTTGAAAACCTAAAAAATCTTTTTGTTAAATTACATTTAGGCTCAACGATCTTTTGCTAGAGAAATTTCTATTGTCAAAGAAGTTGGTAGAGGGCGCTTTAGTGTTGTTTATATTGGTTTATATCAAGATCAAGTTCTTGCTGTTAAAATTGTTGATGAGTCTGATGAATACTCTTGGCAGAGAGAACAACATTTTTATAAAACTGGATATCTTTGTCATGAGAACATACTTAGTTTTATTGGTGCTGATATTGTTGAAAGAAACACGGTTGCTAGGATGTTGATTACACAGTATCATCCTTTTGGATCTCTTTGTACTTTTTTGCAAAATCATTCATTTGATTTCTCAATTTTTTTCCGTCTTGTATATTCTTCTGTTTGTGGAATACGTTATCTCCACAATCCAATAAGTGGCTCGCATGGTAAACCAGCAATAGCTCATCGGGATATTTCTAGTAGAAATATTCTTGTAAAAGATAACTTGCAATGTTGCATTAGTGATTTAGCCCTCGCGGTTGAAGAAAATGCTGGTGAATCTAAGTTGATTTCATCAAAGGCAAAACTTCCTAATCCAAGATATATGGCACCTGAAGTTCTTGAGAATCCCTACAGCACTAATCAGACTGTCTCTTTTTATCAGAAAGCTGATATGTATTCTTTCAGCTTAGTCATGTGGGAAATTTTACTGAGATATGAAATAGAAGGTATTTTCTAATTGTTAATCTTTTTTTTGAATTTTTTATGTTTATGTTTGTATTTCATTCCCATATATTCTAAATATGAAGATAACCTCATTTAGATATCAATTATTTCATTCTTATACTCATGTCTAAAGGATATCAAGTATTTCTTATACTTGTGTCTAAATGATATCAAGTATGAGGATGGAATATTTAATTTCATTTAGACATTAATATTCGAAATGTATTTTTTACTTGACTTCTAAACGAGGTTGCTATCAGGAATCCAGGAAATTTTAAATTTTTGAAGTTTTACTGGCAAGCTTAAAAAATTTAGAAAAAGCTTTAATTGAAAATAACCAAACCCCCTAAATTAAAACTTTTTTTCTTGAATACTAATAATTACTATTTGAAAACAAGGTGTTGCTGAACCATACCGACTTCCGTTTCAAGAGTACGTAGGACTTAATCCTTCTATAAATGAAATGACCGATATAATCAATGTTAAAAAGCTTACGCCTGAAATTCCTAAAAAATATATTCTTGATCAGGTAAATCAATTTTTTTGGTTAAGTTCTGTAACGCAGCGCCTAATAAAAATTCAATTTGTACGTTTTTTTTTTGTAATGTTTCAGAATGCTCGAAATATAATAAAATCTATGAAAAACTCAATGAAGTACTCAGCAATGTCTCGGTTCTCGTCGTATCGCTTGAAAAAAAGTCTTAATAAATGCATGCAAGAAAAAACAAAGTTAACCGAAATTGGCGATACTAGTAATAACACTTGCTCAACGACGGTCACATAAAAATTGATTGTTTTGAAAAAAATAATTTTTGTACATATGTATTATATAAATATATTTAATGTTATAGCACTGATGGCTTTTTATTAAATTTTTTATTTTGCATAAATATTTTCTATATTTTTGATGGAATGAAAAAAACTTTAGATAAGTTTAGGTTTTCATAAAATATGCAGGTGATGCACGTTATCATCAAACTATCCTCATTTCGACTCAACTGTTGCCAAGATACTTATGCGTCGTTCAAAACTTTTTTAGCGCATTTAAAAACATATTATAATATATGAAATATTATGTTTAACAAAATATTCAATAAAACCCTAGTTTTTAGTAAATTTATCCTTAAGAAGTCATATTTTTCAATATTTTTTTTAAGCAATAGTTATTTAAGTTAATACTTTTTAAACTTAATTTTTTTTTTAAGTTAATAAAAACTTTGAGTTAATAATTTTTTAAGTTAATATATATTTAAGGTTTTGCCGTTATATGTAGTATCAATTAATGTTTTTGAACAAGGTTTTGAAAATATAAAATTTGACCCTTTTGAAGACAATTTATTAAATAACACAAATATTTTTCAAGAAATTCAAAGGAGTTTAATGTAAACACCGTATTTTGATCCTTATGAATTTAAGGGGGAAAAAGAAATAAAATTCATTTTCTATACCACATGTAAATATTAGGACCATAAATCAAAACTTTGACAAATTTAAAAAATTTTTAAATATTATAAATTACACGTTTGTTGTCACAGAGACTTGGCATAAAAATACACTTGATGCTAATTTTAATTACAAATTACCTAATTATAAGCTAATTAGTCAACCGCGAGGAAGTAATAAAAACGAAGGAGGCGTTGGTATATATGTTTTAGAGATATATTCATACAAAATAAAAAATAAACTATGCTCAACAAATCTTAATTATGAAAGTCTATTCATTGAAATAATAAGTGACAAAAATAAAACATTGTATTTGGGTGCGTATACCTACCGCCGAGTGGTAAATTTAAATGTTTTGAAGAATTTATTAAAAATACAGTCCTAAATAAACATAAATTTGAACGCTCTGACTTATAAAGTATTTCCGAAAAAAAATCATTTTTTGATATGCTTTTAAATATAATATTTTACCAGTTATAAATAAGCCAACTAGGGTAACAAAAAGCTCTGCAACTGCAATCGATTATATTTTTATTAATAATTATATAGAAACGTCATTTGAGACAGGTATTTTTAAAACTGACATTAGTGATCACTTCCCAATATACATTAAAATAAATCTTTTAAATGTCATAAACCAAAGGGGCTTCTAAGATTATAACTAAAAAAAAACGCAACTTATCAACAATTAATAAGAATAATCTTTCTAATAAGCTAAAGCAAGAGTCGTGGAATCAGATTTTTAAATGTGATAATACTGATAAAGCTTTTAATATTTTCCAACAAACATCTCTTGATATATATAACGAAGCATGCCCATATGAATTATGAATAATTAAAAAAAAACAATGCTAAATCCTTGGATGAATAAAACTCTAATAAAATGTTCAAAAAATAAACAAAAACTTGACAATAAATTTTTGAAAAACAGAAGTGAAGATAATGAAAAAATATACAAAAAATATGAACGGTTTTACGAAAATTTTTTCATAAAAGCTAAAAAAAAACTATTATAGTGAAGAACTTACAAAAAACAAATTCGATGTAAAAAAAACATAGAATGTAATTAAAAAATAAAATGGGAAGAAACAAAATAACTACGGCTTTACTGCCTCAAAGAATAAATATCAATAAAACTGATATTTATTGTCCTTTAAAAGTCTCGAATGAGTTAAACAAATACTTTACAAACCTTGCTAAAAAAATTATAACCACACCCAACTCATTTCAATTATATCGTTAAATTTCAATTAAATCGTTAAATGACGTAATACTTTACGATAGCGACTTTTCTCTTAAAGAATATGAAACTTCCTTTTCTTTTCTTAAAAAAAAATAAATCACTTGGCTTTGATGACTTTTCTAGTAATATAGTTATTTTAAACAAAAATTACATTTCCAGACCTTTGATCCATATTATAAAACTTTCAATAAATGAAGGTATTTTCCCTGAAGCACTAAAGTTGGCAAAAGTATGCCCAATTTACAAAAACAAAGATCAATCAGAAATCTCTAATTATAGACCTGTCTCAGTACTTTCTGTATTTTTCAAAATATTCGAACGTGCAATCTATACTAGAATTTATAACCATTTCAATGAAATTATTTACTGACCTATCAAAAGCATTTGATACGGTTGATCATCTCATTCTTTTAGAAAAAATTAAACACTACGGAGTAATAAATAAAATCTATGATTGGTTAAAAAGCTACATCACTGAAAGAAAAAAATATGTTATTAATAAGGAATCAGGTGAACTGAAAATTATGTGTGGAGTTCCACAAGGGTCAATTCTTGGTCCCTTGCTGTTCTTGATCTATGTATACGATTTGCATAATGCTTCAGCAAAACTTAACGCGATAATGTTTGCTGACGACACAAATCTTTTCTTATCAAACAGTGACATAAGGCAACTTTACTCTGACATGAATTATGAATTAAGGAATGTCAATGAATGGTTTAAGGCTAATAAACTGTTACTTAATGTAGATAAAACAAAGTATACTCTATTCCATAAAAAATCACAACAGGAAAACCTTCCCGTAAAATCACAAGATTTAACTTTAGATGATAAACTAATTGGAAAAAATGAGTCAATACAATTCTTAGGAATTCTTACTGATGAAAATTTATCATGGCTTCCTCACATAAATTATATCCAATCAAAAATTTGGTTTGATGTACCGAATTCAAACACAAATAATCAACTCATCGTTAAACGATACATCTCCATAGTGATAAACAACTTATTTAACAAATCAAAGTATTTTGAAAACCGATCTCGCAGAAGCAATCAAAGATCTTATAAAAAAAAAAGAACAACCAATAAAATTGGAAAGACTGTTAAAAAACATGTTGTAGTAATTTGTTCTCATATAAGAGAAAAAGTTGTGATTAAGAGAGCCCAACGAAATCGAAAATAACAAAAATGAAAAATCATAAAGATTTACAGTTTTCAAACTATTGAGCATTTTGGATAAAAAAACTGTGTAAATGAATATTTATAAATAAATACATTGCAAAAAAAAAAAAAAAAAAAAAAAAAAAAATTAAATACTGAAAAAAATAGCAACTAAAGATTGGGCATTAAAAACTAAAGACCAGAGTAAAAACCTTAAAAAACTTCAAGATTAAGATTCAGCTAAAAACTGAAGATCAAAGAAAAAGACTAATTAATTTAGGTTAAAAAAAAACAACCTACAAGGTTTGGCAAACAAAACAAAGATTGGAATATAAAGTATTGCAGTTTAGCTTTTTTTTTTATTTTATATATATATATATATATATTATATATATAAATTACAATTAAATAAAAACCTGGCAAAAGCAAGAAGAAGACAAATTGTCTTATCGCCGAGCCCTCGTTACATTGGTGTTTTGTAAAAGTTTTAAACATTTACATGCGAAATAAATAATTAATAAAATAGTATATACACACAAAAAAACTTTCAAAAACTTTTAAAATGAAAAATAGAAACTTTTAACAACAATATTTCAACAGAATAATTAAAGTAATAAAATGAAACAAAAGATAGATAACCAAGAAGTTGAAACAAAAGATAGATAACCAAGAATCCACAAAAATTGCGTTGTGTTTTATTATAAATAATGAAATATAACTAAATATTTATTTCTAATTATTTAATATCAAAAAAAGCATAACAAAAACAAAACAAGATTAAAAAGTTGAAGAAATGTAATAAAAAAGTTAGGGTTAGGGTTAGGGTTGATGAATGTTGATAAATAGAAATTTGAGGATTTGTGAAAACTTAAAACTTTAGTATGTTTTTGTTAAAACATTTTATTATTATAAAGTTATATTTTTGAGAGGAAGTAAGCTTACTTTAGAATATTTACTTCAAGAATATCTTTGAAGATTTTCCTTTGCGTGTTCCAGCACACAATTGCATAGTTTAACCTTTGAAGATCTTATTTAGGAATTATATTTTTTAAGACAATGATTTTTCTTTTTTTTCTTTTACATTAAGTTCTTTAGATTTAGTTAATTTTGATTGTATAAACCTATGACATCATCTAAAAAAGGGTTTAGTTTTCGAACTGCGAATTTACAATACCCGTAATATATCAATAATATTTTAACTTATAATATTATTGAGCCTTATAATATAAGGTTATTGATTATTGAGCAATAAAACAAACTTTATGATATAAGGTTGTTTTATTGCTCAATATGCGAATAAATAAGTTTAACTTGTTTTGCTGTATGGTTGTTGATACATCTTAGATGTAAAATACATCTTTGTTGTGTTTGGAAACATTGATGAGTGACTTACGTGCATTCCTTTCTACTACATCAAGCTTTTGCATTAATACGTCTTTATAATCACAAAGTTCAAAACCATACGTAAGTACCGGAACCGCCAATGTTTTACATAGTTGGACAATAGAGCTTGGATGTGCAAAGTGAATTCCAGACTGAACAAGAATTAGGATTACTGTCCTGAACTTTGATATTCTATGAACAATATTTGAACGATTAGTGTATATATTAAATGCTCCTATAAGATTTGAATTCCAAACAGGGTAGAACTAAGAAGTATGATCTCATCAGCATTTACTACAACACCTGTGTAGTTTCCATATATTGTCCCCATGATACTTTCTTTTTGTATGGTTTCAACTAGGCTTTGAGTATATATATTAAACAGGTGAGAAGACAGAATCTATCCTTGTCTCACTTTTTGTGTTAAATAAAATAGATATGATTTGCACTCTAAATAATGACAAAAGCACTGCTTTCATGGTAGAATGATGATATAGTATTAATAATATTAAGAGGTAATTTTTTATTGTCTTATAGTTTCTCAAATAAAATGTTCCAACTACAGCTTTCAAATAGAATGTTCCAACTACAGCTTTCAAATGATTTTTGAGCATCTAAGGAACAACGATAGACAGGTGAGTTGTTGTTGTAGTGTTTAGTTGTTTCATTAAAAACAAATTCAGCATGTAAGGTTGAGTTATTTTTTGTAAAACCTAATTGGAGAGGATGAGTTTCTTTTATCACTGGATAGATTATTAAAATAAGACATTCTATTAGTTTTGTTAAGATTGGAATGATGCTAATACCACGGTAGTTTTAAGGATCATTTAATGATTTTTATAAGATTTAGCATGAGGTATAATATGTAATGTAGACATCAATTTTAGAGCCTGGCCGTGATTAATAGTAAAGTTCAAAAATTTACCTAGCCACTCTCTTAGGGCTTCGCACCGTGCATGTTTTAAATGTTTTGCAAAATAGTTTGTTGCTAAGCAAAATTAGGTATCCATAACAACCAATTTTCACTTTCATAAAAAGCACAGATCTCATATTATTCAAGTTTTGGTTTGCTTATATAATGAATCATAACTAAGTACATGTTTTTAAAAATGATCATAAATTCTATTTTTATCAATAAGTGTAAAGTACTTTTCATAAAGTAAACTTTTTTTTTACGCAATTTTTTTAAGATTTCAATAAGGTTTTCAGCTTAGCGAACAACAAACCATTGTAATACTTCTTTCTATTTTCTATTCCTTCCTAGAAGCTCAACTTATTTTTTTGAGTTTTACATTTTTTACATTTAATTTTTTCTATTATCCAAAACTTTTAAAATCATTCCTAATTGACACCAGCACGAATATAATTTTTTCTTTTAACGTGATGTACTGGAGCTGCAACGAAGACCCCCTTCTAACTCTCACTACAGCACACAAAAAAAAAAAGGCAATAGATATATTAGCGTTGGGATAAATAGCAACAACAATTTTAAATAACTGTTCACATATTTACAAAAGCTTTAAATTTTCAAAAAAATTTCTAAAGCTTTAAATTTTACAAAAGCTCGAGTTCTCTTGTTAATATTTTATCGATTAAAAATAAATTTATTCTATAAAACATAAAACTTACAAAATATAAACATTTTCCTAATATTCGTAGACAAATCAAATGAAAAAAACAAAACAAAAAAAACAAAAACAAAAAAACAAACACTATGAATAGAGTTACGATACATTCATAATATTTTTTGTGAAGAATTTTTTAATCGAATATAAAAGATATGAAACATGCAGCCAAATTTTTTCAAAACTGTATAAAACCGCAAATAAAACCTTTAAAAAATTTGCGAGAAAACACCAAACGTGAAAGTTCTTAAAAAAGTTTAATAAATAAGCAATACTATAAATTCTCAAAAATTTTGAAACAAATTTTGAAAAACTTGGAAACATATAAATTAAACAGCGACTTTAAAAGTTTGAGCTGCATTCCGGGGTTTTTCACGAATCGAATTTTACAAACATTTTGAGTAAGTGTCTTGTAGAGCTATTTTGTTCAAATTAAAAACACATATGTAACATATATGTGCGGTCAAGATGCCCGTTCTTGTTCTTCTTTCGAAGATAAATCCTCCAATAGTACAGGTGAAGGTTTCCAGATTCGAATTAATCGATCGCTATAAATAAACGTTAAACGTTAGTGTATATATTACATGCTGCTATTAGCTTTTAATTCCAGACAGGGTAGAACTAAAAGGTAGAACTAATAAACTATATGAACAAATAGAAGATTAAGGGGGGGGGGGGGGGTTAAAATAACTAAATAACCTTACAGATTTTTAATACGTACCTTATCAAGTACAACTGGGTTATTTAAGTAAAAAAATAAATAAATTTAAAAAATGTATTTTAAAAAATATAATTTTAAAAATGATTTTAGGCAGCATTTTGATTGTTAGTTTGAAAATTTTATTTTACTTTTTAAAATTGAGTTTTCTAGTTCCTAAAAGGTTTAGAGCATAAAAACCGAAAAATGTTTTTGGAGAGAAGAATAAAAATGATTTTTCACATCCATGCTAAATTAATTAAAAGTTTAGTTAAAAAGCAAATAAATAATGCTTTTGCTATCTAAAAACAAAATTGGCATTCGTTAATTTGGGATCTACAAATCAAAGTAAGCTGTTTCCATCAAATAGTATACCAACCAAGAATAGCATTTTCAGAAAACGATTAAATCATAAATCAAGCATCAGAGTATACACTTTTAAAACAATTTCTCGAAATAAATATCAATAATAACACAGTGTAATTTGTGGTATTTTGACGAAATCTGATTTTTCTGGCAACCAAGGAAAATAATATATAAACTACAGACGTTGCGCTAAACAATCATAAAAATTGCTACACAGACGGTAATTGTTTTATCGCTCACGGCACCATTCTGCCACCATTTGTAGTTAACAAATCAATATTACGTATATGACAAATTTTGTTTTTAGGGGGACCACCAAACAATAATTTTAAAACATCCATGTGAGGTTGAGTGGAAAAAATTTACTTAATGTTCATTAAAGTATATATACCAGCGATAAAATTGATGCCAGGTAACTAGTTGGTCAACTTAAGCTGATTGGTATAATAAAATAATCAATTCATTGGTTGTAATTATAGATATTATTTTAGTCTTGGACGAACACGCATGTTACTTAGAGTGTTGCACATATTTGATATCAGGCCAATATGTTTACCAGCTTATTCATTCCAAATATTTCAACCGACTTGTAAAACTAATTAAACGAGTTAGGCGCAATTTACAGCAAATTATTTACCTGCAAATTTCAACAATTTAACAAGTTTAATTAAAATACAAACATTTTATACCCAGTGATACATTTACACAAATCGCTGGGCTTCAAAACACGGTTTTGTTTTCAATCGACATAGGAAAAATTATCAATCAAAATTACAAATCATCAATCAAAATTATATCGATCTTCATCTTCATCTATTTTACAATCTTCATTTAAGTCTTCATCTTGCTCAATTTTATTATCTAAATCTCAGTCTACATCAACGCCAAACATACGTCAGCATAAACAAAAATACGTCAGCATAAAATTCCAATGATTCAAAAATGAAAGCAATTAAAGAAATGCCAAACTGAGTTCTATTAAGCTTGAAATGAAACTCAGCAATATTCAAAAAAATCAAACCATAACCAAAAAATTATAAGTTGAAATATTGCAAAGTTTTAAAGGTTTTTTATGAAGTTTTTGCCAACTCAAAACAACATGTTTTGATGCTTCAAGTTTAATTTGTTAATCGCTTTAACCGTTCATAAAAAATTTTCTATAAAAATTAAAAAAAACAAATAAATGAATTTAAAGATTCTGAAGTATATACTTTTACCACGGTGTATTGCAGTTTAAATGTATAACCAAGTTGTGTTACAAAAAAAAAGTATAATATTTTTTAATGATTTATTTTAGTTACACATATTATATATATATATATATATATATATATATATATATATATATATATATATATATATATATATATATATATATACCTATTTACTTTATATATACATATAACTAAAATAAATTATTACAGAATTTTAAAATTCTTCGATGCTTAAATGAAATTTTTTTTCTTAATTTTAATTATATTTTTTATTTCATCGAATTAAAAAAAGGAAATCTTTTCAAAAAACCCTTATGATCATTTAAAACAACCTTACACCCTTACAGCCTCATAACACACCTTTATAATCACACACCCTTATATACACTCTTCCAACCTTAAAGTCTTAGGCTTGGTAAGCAGACTAAAACACTAAAATTTGATTGGTTAAAAAAAAATTACCTAGATGCTGTAAAAATCCGAGATTCATCACACTTGATGGCATTTATGCTTTTTCCATGAGCCAGCATTTCACCTTTTAAATAACAAAAAAACTTTAAAAATTCTTTAATTATGAATTAATTTAGACAAATTAAGAGAAGAACAAATATTTAAAAAAGATAAAACAAAGATAAATCACAAAGTTTTACTGGTTAAAAAATATCACTATTTTTGTTTTTTCAACTTTTTTTTTTTAATAACAAACTAAGAGATCAGAATTATGGTCAGCAGAATATACTTGTACTTTTAAAAGCATTTGCACTTTGCCAAGGTTAAACTAAATCACAACTTTAAAAAAATATATTAAAAAAACAGACTATTTTAATTTAAATATATTTTTTAAATTTAACTTAAAATTTAATATTTAAAAAAAAAAATTTCAAGTATTAAAAGTAACATGATTGAATATGTTTTTTATACATAACTCAATGGTCAAACAGACTAGAAGCAAACTTAAGATTTTAAAGTAACATGATTGAATATGTTTTTTATACATAATTCAATGGTCAAACAGACTAGAATCAAACTTAAGATTTTAAAGTAACATGATTGAATATGTTTTTTTGTACATAACTCAATGGTCAAAAAGACTAGAAGCAAACTTAAGATTTTAAAACCATATCCACAAATTTGCACTCTACGATTATATGATTGTATTTAGTGATAACAACCACACGCTGATAACATTGAAAGTAAAATATTAACTACAATTTTGAAATTGATGACTGAAGTGGCTTTATCTGTAGAAGTTGAACATGTGACGTTCTCTTACAGTTTGATACATATAAAACTGAGAAACAGACTGAGAAGGAAAAAAGCTGTTAAGCATTTTTCATCAATGCAATCAACCTTTTCATCAACTAGCACTAAATTGATGATTCAATTGTGTATGCAGGAAAAAGATTCTTGGTTTGATCATGTTGATGGATATTTTTTTGTGCAGTGGAGCGTTATCTGTAGTATTTTATTTTTATGGCAGATTTTGTTTCATTAATTCTTTAAACACAGTTGTGTTTATTTATATTTTATTTTGTTTTTAATTATGACAAAAAAAAAGTTTAATAAAATAAATTTTATTATTAAAACCATTCATAGAAGAAATATTTGATTTAAAAAGTTATCAAAAAATAATAAATCTTTTAGTTACATTACTAACATTATTTGTAAAAAAATTGTTGCACAATTAATTAAATTTTATCAGCAATGCAATATTTTTCTTTTTAATATATATTTAATTAATAAATAAATAGTCACACAAAACAATATACTGCCAAACGCAATAAATAAGGTGAACACAAACAGTGAAGCAATACCTCTAAAAAATTAGTTATCAAACAAAACAAATTTTTATGTTTTAAATATTTAAATTTCTGTTTTTTTATTTAGTCATACAACTAATTTAAATTTTTGTTATTCATTTGTCTTAAAATCTTATCATTTAATATTTGCATATGCAAGATAAAAAGAAAAAAAGATAAAAAGAAAAAAAGATAAAAAGAAAAAAAGATAAAAAGGAAAAAAGATAAAAAGAAAAAAAGTAAAAAGAAAAAAAGTAAAAAGAAATAACTATAAACAGCCTTTATAAAACAAAAGTCTCATAAAGTCTCATTGATTGTTTGTTTAGAGATGTTTATAGCGTTGTGTATTGTGATGTTTCTTATTTATGTTAGAGATTTGCTGATTAAATTGCTAATGAAAAACAAATTTATTTAAGAGTCAATTTTATCAACTATTAAAGAACAAAGATTCATTCTTATTAATTATTTTATAAATATCCAAGTTCTATCAAAGACATGAATTTTTTGACACATTTGAAGCTTGTGCAATATGACACATTTGAAACACATTCTGTTGGATCATATACAGAAATACCATACTGTAATAGGAGACCTAAAATATCATGACAGTAAACAAATAAATTGATTTCTGAAAAAAAGTTAACAAAAGTTTAACTAAAGTGAGAAACTTTTGCAAAGCTATCGAGTAGGCTTTTTTCCTTCAAACGCAATGCTAATACTTCAGCTGCTATCTTAGAAAGTTCATGAACTAAGTCATTCAGTTCTATCGGACTAAAACACTAAAGCAAATTGAATTGTTTAGCATTAAAAGAAAAGTCTAACAAACCTGGTTAAAATTCTTATGTTTCTGTAGGAGACATGATTAGTTCAATTCTGAAAAAAATTAAACCTTTAAAAATTAGAAATCTTAATAGTAGAAGGAATGTTGGGGTAAGCTGCTTTTTGCCTCTTTATTTTGCCAATACCACTAGTACCAACAAGACAAAAATAGCAGTCATCAATGTGATTTAATGGTTCCCTCCAAACCATGGGGACTCCAAAAGGTATATTCTTTCTTTTTCCTTTTATCCAATCTTGAAACTTTCTTCACAAATAAGGCACACAGTATGTGGAGCCCATTTTTGTCTTGGTTGCCAAGTTTAATATCGAAATACGATTTATATGCTAGTTTTACGAATTTAGTAATGTTTTGTTATTGTCGAGCAAGTGCTTAGCAACCACAGATATAACAAAATGAGTTAGAATTATACTTGCACTTATATCGAATGATGAGCTTTTTCTATTAACTTAAATCCATTTTCAAATTCATATTTGAGTCTAGTTTAGCCAAAAAATGGCTTATGTCAACAGTTACATTATTATAATTAATCTAAATATTTTCAAAAATCCCTTCTCAAAATTTTTAGCACTTAAAATCAAAGCAACTTTTTTTAAATCATTAAATTTAAAAACTTAAGACATAAAAATTCCTTCTCAAAAATATCAGATATATTTTTTCATCTCTGATATTTGGACATGACTCTTTCTATTCTATTGCTGATTTTAGTAACAATTTAAAAAACATGATTTTTTTTTTAAATCTTTCACCTAGTGAAAGATTTAAGAATTTCTGAATTGGTTTTTCTATTTTTTTTTTTAAACTAAACAACACATTGTTAATATTGTTAGAGCTGTTTTAGAAACCTGTGAAACTCTTTTATGTCATTGTAAACATTTTTTTTCTTTATTATATATATATACTATAATAAAAATATGCTTGATGGGTTGCATGATAAAAAAATGTAGACATCTTGATGGTTTGGGTGTTTAAAATGTGTAGACCTCTTGATGAGTTTGGTATTGCTAAACCCAGATCTAAAAAACAGCCCACTTAAGTCTTAAAGAGAGACTGCTTTTGTTATTTAAATTCTTAAACCCAGATCTCTAAAACAGCCCATATTAAATACACTGAAAAAATAAATATATTAACAATATTTTATTCTGCATTATTCTTGTTACAAAAAATGCAGAGGTTGTTTTACAATCTATAGGTACATTTACAAAAAATGAAATATGCTTCTGGATTCAACTTTTTACTAATTTTAAATATTTAAACTTTCAAAACAAAAGAACTGATTTAACATTCAAAACATTAACACATTTCAATAGTTTGAGGAAGGTTTTTTAGTATACTAGGAGGGTGGTTTGAGTCAGCATATCTATAACTGATAGAATTACCAGGTTTGCAGTAAGGTTGGAAAGAACTGTCATTAAGATTTAACGTTAAGTCCAGATAATTAACAACTTTAAAATTACAGCTGATGGATATATGAAGATCATTATTTTTAAAAATTTTCACAAAGTGCTTTTTAATTTTTTCCATCTGTTGACCACTCCGGTTCTTAAACACTGCTAGACCATCATCTCTATACAATCCAAATTCATCTTTATTGTAATTTTGCGATAATTGAAACAAGATAAGTATTCCAACTAACTCACAAACTTCTGCGCCATCAAAGGCTTCCATGATTACATCAAATAAACCTCAATCCAGGCATCACTAATGTTGAATAATAATAATTTTCTGGCATGATGTATTAACCTTTTTTCATCTTGTTTTATAATTAAGTATTTTTCAGCAAAGGTTATAGCATTGTTCAGTAAATTTACATTAATTGAGTGATAAAAATCAGTTATATCGAAAATTAAGAATTTGTATAGATGTTTTCCTTTAATATTATGAAATCAACCTATAACGTTCTGTGAGTTTAGCCAATGATTGATGCAAACTTTTTTTCTAAGATCACTATTTATTTTTAATAGAAAGAATTCCTTATTTTAACATACAAAGGTGATAACTTATTAAATAAGCGAAATGAGTTGACTTCAAAATGCAGACACAAGAATAAATTCCTTTTATTTTTTTTTGACACCGGTGATTAACTAATATTTTGTTTTTTCTTTGGTTGCCATCAAGTATGTCTTAGCGATGTAAAAATCCCACAACACAGTATTTTGTAATTTTTAGTGGGTTTTTTTGTTTTTGATTTTGTATTCAATGGCTGATGATTGCTGTATAGGCATGAAACTTTAAGTACCATAGAAAAAGTTGTTTTTTCTTCGTTAATATATATGTATGTATATATATATATATATATATATATATATATATATATATATATATATATATATATATATATAGAATATATAATATATATATATATATATATATATATATATATATATAATATATAATATATATATATATATATATATAATATATAATATATATATATATATATATAATATATATATATATATATATATATATATATATATATATATATATATATATATATATATATATATATATATATATATATATATATATATATATATATATATATATATATAGGGGAGAGCGGGGTTGGTTGTCACACTTTTTACATTTTAGGCTGCTCAGCTTTTAATTTTCATCCAATCAATGCCAAACTTTGCACAAAGCTAATTTAACTATTTCCAGTAACTATTATAATATTTTTATGACATTGAGTGAAATATTTATTGCTGTAAAATCATTTTTCAAAGACCACTTCTGTGTGACAACTAGCCCCGCTCACGGGGTAGGTTGTCACATGGTGCGGGGTTGATTGTCACATTTGGATTTTGACAAGTTTAGATAATAATTTAATGTAAAACGAGTACAAATTAATTTTGTTTATGTTTTACTAAGAAAAACAAAAATAAAATACTATAAACTGAAATATATATATTTTAAATATAACACAATTAACAAATTTAGTTTATCACTATAAATGTTTTTAGGTTTGGTTTTTTAAAAATTATTGGATAAAGAACACAATTCACAAATAAACTGTTGTAAGCCTGGTGTGCATTCTTCATGAGCCCATTTTTGGCAAACCTGACATTAAATCCACTGTTCTCTTGATCGGCTGTTGGAAAATGATTCAAAACAATAGATGCACAGATACTCTTTATCTTCAGATGAATTTAAGACTATAGAAGGTTTTTTCGTAGCAAGATTTGATTTTATTAATTCTTTTTTACTTCCATTAGTAAATTTTTTTTTATTAGTTTTCTTCTTTTTATAATTAGCAAGCCATGCTTTGACAGGCGTGTTAGTAAGAATCATAGTTGACCGCTTTTTCCTACCTCTTTTTGATGCTAACCTCGGACCTGCTTTAGGCAGAGGCCTAATACTCTCAGGTGGTATGATTGAATTGTTAAAACCTAATGTTGTGATTGGGTTCTGATTAGGGGTTTTATTTAATACAACTGGATCTTCTATTGTTATGTCTACCTGATTACCTGGTATCTGAATAGATTCTTTAAATCTTTTATTTGATGGTTCTGGTTGCATTGAATAGGATTCACAGTCTTTTTTATTTGAATCAGCCTGTGAACAAGGTGGGTCAGGGCGATCAGTTACATAGTTAGGACAGTAATCAATTTCAGTAAACACATCAGGATTTAACGGGTAAATACCTGTTGCAGAAAAACCACTTAAAATATTGTGGGGAGATACAGCCTTTGGAAATGCAATGTTTACTATTTTTGGAATATCATATATTGTAACAGTTTTTCCAGGATTCATTACTAACCATGATGTCATAGCAGTATTTATGTAGTTTTTGAGAGGACCATAAACTGCCTTATCCAAGGGCTGCAATTTATGTGTGCAATGTGGTGGGAAGGTAAGCATTACTATTCCATTATTTTTTGCCAAATCTAATCCTTCAATTCTAAGATGAGTTTCATGATTGTCAAGCAACAATAAACAAGGCTTTTCTTTAGTACATTTTGTATTGCCTACAAAATGTTTTAGATATTTTACAAAGTTTTCTTCTTTCATCCAACCACTTGGATTTGCATCTCCTGCACTTCCTGTTGGTGCACTGATTAGGAAATGATCTTTAAAGTTTTTACGAGGAAAAATAAAAAAGGGTGGAATACTATTTCCAATAGCATTTATTGTGCATGCTAATGTTACAAGAGTTCCTCTTTCAGCTGACGTGATGGCTCCTACTTGTTTTAATCCTTTTTTCGCTATAACCTTTTTAGGTTGCTGTACAGTAGTTACAGCAGTTTCGTCCATGTTCCAAATGTCATTTGGTGAGAACGAGTATTTTTGCATACAGTGCTGCAAATTGCTAAAAAATGATGCAACATTCTGCTTATTGAAACTTGTCGCTCGACTTAAACTAGTAGCTTCAGGTTGCCTAATGGAAATATTTGAATGGCGCTTTATAAATCCTGTAAACCAATCCTTACCAGCTTGTTCCTTTACAACCCAAGAATTGGGAACCTTCATATTATTTTTAATTGCTAGCTGGAAAGCAAGCTTTTTTACTTCGGTAGGAGTTAAACCAAAATATATATCTGCTGCTCGCAACAGGTAGGTGACCAGTTCTTTTTCTACTTTTTCTGGCAATATCAATCGACTTTTGTATCCTATAACATTCAGGGAGGTGGGGTTTTCAATTTTGTCAATTAGATCTGCTATAGAACCATGTGATGGGTTAGTAATAATAATTTTTTTACAATAACGTGCTAATGTTCTGTATTTAATGCCATGGTTTTTTGCTGCTGATCTAATAGAAATGTTATTAATCTTTACATCTTTAACAGCACACATTATGACATCTCCAGAAGTATAACCTCTATTAGTTTTTCTTTTAAAATTTCGTACCATGTTTATTACTAAGCAAATAAAAATATTTGCAAATAATGTAAACAAAACATTAATATATATATATAATATATATATATATATATATATATATATATATATATATATATATATATATATACATATATATATATATACATATATATATATATATATATATATATATATATATATATATATATATATATATATATATATATATATATATATATATATATATATATATATATATATATATATATATATATACATAAACCCACTAAATATAAACAATGCACAAACAAAACAACAGACAGTTTTACAAACTAAACAACAGCTAGTTGTTTAGTTTGTAAACAAAACAATAAACAGTTGAACTTCTGCAATCCTTTTTCTATAATTATACTAAACATTGGATCGGAATCTAAAGTTATGCACGTTGAAATAAAAATAATTTAGATTACAGATATTTAGTTAAACAAATATAACACTTTGACTTTAGATTTTTAAAGAATATCTTAAACATTAAAATATTCCTCAATAATGCGGAAAATAAACAAAGCCACTAAATATTCTGCAAGCGGCGTTTAATTTGCAGCGCATGGAGTCGAGGCAAGTGTGACAACCATCCCCATATAATTTGTGACAAGCAACCCCTTCTGAGTAAGTTACTGGACACCTGTACATTTACCTAAAAGCGTGAGAATTTCATGATATTTTTTTACGGATTAAGTTACTCAAATGAATAAAGTACTTTATAAATCTACATTCAAAACACAATAAAATAATTTTCGTTTGGTAAAAGAAAATTTCTGAGTAGGCGAAATTTTACTTTTTCATATCAAAAACCTATAAAAACGAATAACTTTTCTTCTGCACGCTAAGAAAAGATAAAAATTACTGTAAAAATGTTTTTTTTATATAACATTTCCATTGTATAATTTGAAATTTCTATATCTTATTTACATTTCCTGTAATAAACTTTGTGACAACCAACCCGCGTGACAACCAACCCCGCTCTCCCCTATATATATATAAATCATAAGACTGAATAACAAGCAGATCAAGAAAAAAGATAAAAATAATTAATACATTTTTATGCTAAAATTGTTTCATAAAATGCTAAAAAAATATTATAACTTATAGTTAGCTAATTTCATAACTGTTTTTTAGTCTGATAACTAAAGTTTTTTAGTCTGATAACTAAAGTTTTTTTAACTTTTAACATTTTTTTCTCTTGCAAACTATTAATATTTATATTTCCTTATAATTTTCATACTCAACAATCTTAAAATATTAATTGTTCTTAACATATTTTTTTCTACTAAATAGAACCTTTTAATATATATATATATATATATATATATATATATATATATATATATATATATTCATATTTATATACAAGTGATTTACCTGCTAATTTACAAGTGTTTGCATTCCATAATTTTACAACGCCTCTTCTATCAGAACTAATAAGTATATTTTCATTTGGTATAAAATTTAAAGCTGTAACCCAATCTTTATGTGCTGCTGTAAGATGCTGAAATTATAAAGTCAAATTATTATCAACTTTTATTGATTCAAAAAAAACTATAAATACAGTAATTTAAAGAACAATATTTATGTATAGTTTTTTTAATGACATTTATATGTGAAATTGTAAAAATGGAACTTCTTGAACATAATAAACTAAAAAATATGGAACCTCTTCTAAACGATGGTTAGTGAAATTCCAACGCTTTATTGTATTGTCTCGTGATCCGCTAAACAAATATTTATCTTTCATTGCAAGTGATTGTACACCATCATAATGAGGTGGCTCCAAATTTTGACGAGGCATCTAAAAGCATTTAAACGTATTTTTCGTAACTTTTTAGTCAAAAAACAGAAGATAGATTTACAAAGGGAAAAATTATTCAACTCAAATTAATTATAAATTTAAATAATTATGTAACTCTTAAAAAAAAAAAAAACTAAAAAAGAAAATTACTTGGCTTGATGAAACATCATCCACTACTTCAAAAATCTAAACCATATAAGTTTAAATTACTTAGCATTTATTATATATTTGAAATAAACAACCACAGACAAGTAAGATCATTAAGTTTTGAGAAAACTGTCACAGTTAGTAACACTTTAACTTTTATTAACACGTTAACTTGTTATAAACACTAAATAAACTATATTATAACAGAAATTGTTTTTTTTTGCAACAATTTAAAATTTTTTTTTGTTTTAATTTAATTTTGTTTTAACTTAAATTTTAACTTTTAGTTACATTATTAACATTATTTTTAAAATTGTTGCACACAGTTATATGCGGTAGTGGTGTAGTGGTAAAGCGCTCGCTTCATAAACGAGTGGTTCCGAGTTTGATCTCCACCACGTCCCTGGTTGTACCGCGCTCAACTCATTTCTCTGCGCAACAACCATGTTCGTCAAGGTTTGTATTTTGGAGTTATAGAGTTGAGAGAGGGTTATAACCACAAATAAGTAGCCTCCTCGTCTGTAGTGGCCTTCTCGGCCTTGAGGAGGTGAATTAAAATAAAATAAAAAAATAAATAAAATTAATTAAATTTTATCAGCAATGCAATATTTTTCTTTTTAATATATAATTAATTAATAAATATAGTCACACAAAACAATGTATTGCTAAACGCAATAAGTTAGTGAACACAAACAGTGAAGCAATGCTTCTGAAAAATTAGTTATCAAACAAAACAATTTTTTATGTTTTAAATATTTAAATTTGTGTTTTTTTATTTAGTTATATAACTTATTTAAATTTTTTATACATTTGTCTTAAAATCATTTAATATTTGTATATGCAAGATAAAAAGAAAAAAAAGTAAAAGAAATAACTATAAACAGCCTTTATGAAACAAAAGTCTCATAAAGTCTCATTGATCGTTTGTTTAGAGATGTTTATAGCGTTGTGTTTAGTGATGGTTCTTATTTATGTTAAAGATTTGCTGATCAAATTGCTATTAAAAAACAAATTTATTTAAGAGTCAATTTTATCAACTATTAAAGAACAAAGATTCATTCTTATTAATTATTAAGACTTGAAAAGAAAAACAAATTATAGCAAAATATATATTAGAAAAATAGAAAGCAAAATTAAAAAATAAATGCAAAATGATATGGAGTGTCAGAAAAGTAAATGTATATATAAAAATATACATAAACCTATAGAACAATTGTTTGAAAAAAATTATACAAAAAAGATGAATTTACATCTATATCAATAAATAAAAATCCTTGTAAAAAAATAAAAAAATAATTAGAAAAAAAAAGAAGATATATTTAGCAATATTTGCATGAGGGAATGTGTGTAAATCTGTTCTGTTTAAGTTGTACAGTAAAGTCTTGTAACTTACATCAGACCAGCCCAGTCATACTTCAGATTACCATGAATTTAACACCCAGGTTATCTTTGAATCTAAAACAAACCCAGTCGTATTTCAGAGAAAAACATCTTCACCTTCTGTGATGAGTACAATCATGTTAAAAAAGTAGTTGGGCTCAATGACTTTAAAATCTTATAAACAACTTGAACAAATGTGGTAGTTGTGTAGGGTAGAGCTTGCTTCACAAGCAAGAAACTATGAGCTCAATCCCCTACCATCTCCCTGTAGTACCACGCTTAACATGTTTTACTGTGCAGCATTAAGACCCTGTCTTGAGCGTTGTAACAACAATTATAAGAAAAAAAGAGTAGTTTCCTTTCAGTCCTTGCAGCCTCTTTCACTGCAGTAACCTTTTTTGGGAGATAAATAAAGTTTAAAAAAAATAATTTTTTAAAAATAATTGTGTATCATTTTAATAAATTATCATAACCATCATTCAATTAAATTTGCTTAGACTTGAAATCTTAAAAAATATAAAAATTAAAACTATATAATATTAAAATATATACAAAAGTTAAAACTATGTGAATATATATATATGTATATATATATATATATATATATATATATATATATATATATATATATATATATATATATATATATATATATATATATACACACACACACACACACATACACACACACACACACACACACACACACACACACACACACACCACACACACACTCTTACTTGGTTGTCTTTAAGTTTTTAACATGAAATGTTAGCTTAAAGTTTTTTTTATTTTAAAGACCGGAAATTTTTTTTAAAATTATTTGATAGACTACCTGCCCAAACCAAACCCTCAGTCGATGTAGCAGCACTCTGTTGCAAGTCAGGCTATTTGTCAGTTGATGTAGCAGCACTCTGTTGCAAGTCAGGCTATATTTCAGTTGATGTAGCAGCACTCTGTTGCGAGTCAGGCTATTTGTCAGTTGATGTAGCAGCACTCTGTTGCGAGTCAAGCTATAAGATAGTCTATGTAGCACCACTATGCACATGTTTTACAGTTAAAAAATAAAAATAAAAACATTCAGAATGTTTTTATTTAAAAAAAATAAATAAATAAAAACATTCAGAATGTTTTTAAAAACATTCTAGTCTTTTAATTTATGGTTTTGTGGTTTAATTACCACAATCAATAAATTACCTGCAATAAATTAATGCATTTTAATGTACCTTTAATTTTGTCAACTTTAATACTACAAATAAGCTAAGAGCCGTTTTTTTTACAAAAGACGAACAGTTTTTCTTATAATGTGAAAAGTTAAAACTTACTTTAATAGAGTGATCTTTTGAACCAGTGATAATATTGTCATGATTATGACCTGTTTCTGCTACTAACAAACATGTAACAGCTCCAGTATGTCCAGTCAATTTACCAATAGTGCTATATCTAGAATTTTTGAGAAAAAGTTTTATGTCATATATCTTTTTAAGTTATAAATAATAAACTTAAAAATCTTTCTAAAGCAAAACACATTGAAAATATTACGTGCGTAAGTCGATCATTTTGACAATGTTTCCAATAGCAGAATACAAGACAGTACCCTGGGAATTCAAACCTAGATCCATAATGCTAGCATCACTCATTGACTGTAATAATCCACTACTATAGCAACAAAAGAATTAGCAAAAAAATTAACATTTTAAATGAAACTTTTTTAATAGTTTTATCAAATAATATTAAAAACACAAAAATCTTTGGACAACACAACAAAAATTGAATTGAAAATGGTGAATGGTGAAAAGTGAATTGAAAATGAATTGAATGGAAAAAATGAAAAACAAAACAAAAACTTATTACTTTTAAAAAAATTGATAAAAAAAAAGTTTCAGATAATGATGCTTTTAACACCAATATTAATGTGTTAATAATAATGTTTATTTCAAATACTCTGAAGATTGAGAGGTTAAAGAAATAAAGCAGAAAATTAAAAAAAAGCAATAGTGCTGTATAAAATCATCATAATAAAACTACAAATAAAAAATTAGGCATGATGGCATAATTTTTTTCCTAATCCTTTATTCTAGAACTCGTAATTTTTTTTTTAAAAACAGATTTTTCCTTTATAATTAATCATCAATCCAAAACTTTATGTTAACCTTTTTTTAAAATTCAGAAAGTTTAAATTACAAGATCTTAAGCCATATGATGATGATACCTGATTCCTCTTTTTTATATCTTCTTAATTTACTCTTCACTACTGACCTTTTATGGAAACCATATATACAATAGATTGCTAAATTAGTCAGCATCTGCTAATCTTTTCTTTTTCTAATCTGCTTTTCTTGTGCTCATTATTTTCTTACTCCTGATTACATTCTTTAACTCTACAAATCTCTTATCCATCCCTGTACGGAATACTGATGTCATACGTGGGCTGGTTCTGCTTTATTTCTTTAACCTCTCAATCTTCAGAGTATTTGAAATAAACATTATTATTAACACATTAATATTGGTGTAAAAAGCATTATTATCTGAAACTTTTTTTTAGTAAGTGACTGGGGTTGATATTTGACTGGTGCCAAGGCCAGGGCCAGATTTGATAAAAAAAAGCTGGGGCTGGGTTTGTGACTGGGGCTGCATAAACATTTATACATCCTAAAGCATATTTTTTTAATTCATAATTCATATCATATTTTGCATATATATGCATATATAATCATCATCATCATCTGATCATTTTCTCTTTTGGCAAACACTACACCATATAAATACTAAAGTTTAAATAAATATGAAAGAATATTGTATGCCAGCATCTAAATAAATAGCACACATATATGTTTATATCCATAATATGTATGCATAAAGCGCATTTCAAAAGATTTTTCACCATCTTGAGCAGTTACTTAGTTAAACATTAATCATTTTTTTCATCTTTTTAACTGGAACATCTTTTTAAGACCAAATGTCTTTTTATTATTCCAAAAAGACAAAGTAAAAAGGTCCTGTCTGATGTTAAGCTCTGTTATTCTCAGTTTACTAAATCTTGTATCTTATATCAGATGTTAGGATCTAGAGACTCTTAGTTAGTCTTTAACAATGTCATTAACTAAAGTAAGTCAAACATGTCATCTCTAATTCATGGGTCTGATTTTTTTTCTTCTCTCCAGAATAAAGCAGAGTTATTTGCAAAGAAATCTTAGTCTAATTTGATTCTTGAATCTTATTGAATCTAGTTAAATACTCTTCCTGCCAGTTAAACAGATTAATCCATTGTTGAACATCCAAATCAATCTGGCTTTCAATTCTAAAGTTAATTCTCAATTAAACATTTCTACAGTTTGTGCTTCAGACAAGATTTCCATGATGGTCTTAAAAACGTGTTCTCCAGAACTCTTTTAAATTTTCGCTAAATTTTTAAAAAGTGCTAAACAAGTGGTTCCAATTTTTCAAAACTCTAGAAAACACTTTGATCTCTCTAGCTACCCTATGATTAGTCTTCACTTTTATTAGTTTCTTTATATATTGGTTTTGAGATTATTAAATTTTTTCTTTCTAACTGCAATATTAAAGTTATTCTTGATGGCCTACACTTTCCTTTATTTCAAGCAACTTTAAGGGTTAGAAAGTTCTTTGCTCTTGTATTGTTTCTTATTTACAATAACAATCTACATTAAAATTTTACATCTAAAGTGCTCTATTTGCTGACAACTTAAATCTATACTCTTGTCTTGACAAAAAATCTTCATTTTTTGATTGCTTAAAAAAGCCGATTTTTATCTGATCTCTTTCTGTACAGCTTGCAGTGACTTTATTGATGAACAACAACCTTCTTACTCTCAGACAAAGTCTAAAAGCACATTGTAAATGCAATTAAACATGCTTTATCTGCCAAGTTTGAGCCACTCTCCCATTGTTTTAAGGTTGCATTTCTTTCTTTTTTCTACAAATACCATCATGGTCAATGCTCAAACAAGCTATCATCTCTATTACGATAAACCAAAACTCATTATTGCTTGGTTCTTATTCAACATCCTTTTACTGTATCTGTCTTTCATGCTATAAAAACTTTTATTAATCCAGTTTTTTTCCATGCACATCAAAAAATCTTTATAGCTCTTACCCATCGTCATTTTTTCATTTTTTATACAACTTACGACTTTTTAAGTTATACTTTTCCTAATATTTTAACTTGTTCCCTATTTTAAAGTAACACATAACTTAATAATGATTGCTCATAATCTTGTTGGAAGAAAATTAGAGTTTAAAAATATATGCCAGTATTTATTAAATGGTAAATGTAAGCATAAAATAATTTTATAATATATTAAATATTATAAAATTTTTTCTGCTAAATCTTATAACTTGCAGCGCCGGGGCTGAAAAAAGTCTCACTTTTAGCCAGGGAAGGATACCCCAAAGTTAATCTGAAAGTGGTAAAGTATAGTACTCAGAAAGATTGTTACCACAAAATTGCAACAAATTCTTTTTTTTTTGTTATTCAGCTTCCCAAGGCCATTAATAAATTCTATGCACAGGTGTTACTGATACATATAGTCACTTACTGTCATATAGCAATCACAGTCTGCAAGATTTTTTGGAATATAGTTTTAGTTTTATTTTATAACTTTTAAATATAAATGATTGAGATTACTTTTAGTTATTAAAAAATTATTTTTTAAACTCTTTAGTTATGTCAAAATTGTAACAAAATTATAACATGATAATTTATACAGGTACTTATAAAAATAATAAAACTGAATATATATATATATATATATATATATATATATATATATATATATATATATATATATATATATATAAATATATAAATATATAAATATATAAATATATAAATATATATAAATAAGAATAATTATAAAAATAGTACTACTAAAAAATAAAACATACCCCAATGTTTTTATCACTGAACCTTTCCTAAGATCCCAAAGCTATAAATAAAAAACTCAACTTAAAACCAACACTTATCATTTAGCACTACAATGAATGTAAACATTTTAATGAAAAAATTCAATTCAATAAAAGCTGCGCATATGTGTGTGTGTGTGTGTGCGCTTGTGTGTGTGCTTGTGTGTAAAAACATTTTAAATGTTTTTTTCTAAAATGATAATATTAAACTATTAGTTAAACATAATACAACAAGGTACATCACAATCGAAATTTTAAACAAGGTACATTACAATTGAAATTTCAAACAAGGTACATTACAATTAAAATTTCAAACAAAGTACATTACTCTTTGAAATTTCTCAAATCGAAATCTTCAAAATCTTATATCATTAGTAATAAAATTCACCTTGATTGTTGATTGATAGACAGTAAAGATAACATTTCGTAAAGGAGAAAATTTGACAACGACTACATCTCGTTTATGCTGATTTAATGACAAAATTTCTTCATTTTGTGTTAGATCCCATACTTTTGCTGTTCGATCTTTAAAGACAAAATAAATATAAAATATAAAAACAAACAAATATGTTTATATATATTTTACAGCAGTTAGTTGAATCAGGCTCTCTAAGATCTACCAGAAAATTTAAAAAAACCTTACTACAAACCTGATTTATAATTATTACTGCTTTACTAAAAGTCACAGTAGAATTTAGTAAACCCTACATACACACTCATATAAGGGTATTTAGAAATACTTATATACATGCACATATAAGGGTATATAGAAATATTTATATACACACATATAAGGGTGTGTAGAAACACTGATATACACACACATATAAGGATGCGTAGAAATACTTATATACATTCACACACATATAAGGGTGTCTAGAAACACTTATATACACACACATATAAGGGTGTGTAGAAATAATTGTATACACACATATAAGGGTGTGTAGAAATACTTATATACACACACATATAAGAGTGTGTAGAAATACTTATATACACACATATAAGGGTGTGTAGAAATACTTTAATAATGATGAACAGGTATACATTATATATATGATAATATAACAAAAATAAAATTGGTTCGTAAGAAAAATGTTACTAATAAAAAAAAAAAAAACATTGCTGTTATATCTTCGAAATGATGTTATATCTTCGAAATGATGAAACATGATTTTGAACTTGGAGTTGGGAAGGAAAAAATATTTTAATCATATCTTCTTAGAGATCTAGAATTCTACATCAGTCATTGTGAACTTGTTTTATAAAAATTCCAAAAAACCCATCATACCCAAGAGAGTTTACTAAAAATGTATTTTTAAAAGAAACTTTTACCATAAATTGTAATTACTTATAAAGTCATCTGGGTTGTATCTGTGTATCATTGTATAAATGTATGTATCTATATAGGTATTTGTGTTTGAAGCAGCATATTTTTGACGATGAATAAACTCATTTGTAGTTGATTTACTAACTTTAATAACACAAAGCTTTCGGAGGAGAGATGCACAGTTACACACTTATTTGACCATGAATATAATATTTAGTTTTGACAACATGACCACAGCTCTTTGCATGTTTTGATAACTTGCTCACTTTAAAAATGCGCAGAAACGAAAATAGAAAAATTAAAAAAAAAAATTCATAAACTAAAACGAATGAGAAAATAAGTAAACGATAAACTTGAAACAATAAAACTAATAATAAAAGTTATTTAATTCAAACTTAATTATTTTGAAACTTTACTATTTTGAAACTTAACTACTTAAAAATTTTAAAACATTTTTTAATGTCTACTAATTAAAAAAAAAAGTTAAAGAAAGCATTTGAAAATAAAAGCAAAACTAACAGTTGTGCCTCAAATATAACACATTACATCATCCCAATGCTACACTGACAAAATAAATAAGTTGTACTATTAATTAAGACAATTTTAAATAAAAAAAAAAAAAATTATTTATATGCTTTTATTTTTTCTGGTTTATCTTTTTATTGGTTTATTTATTTTATCTGGTTTATTTATTTTATTATTCGTTTAGATTTTCTTATTTGGTTTGTTTAACTTAACTTTCTCTCCATGATTTTTCAACGCATCTTCAAAACACGCAAACTATCAAAACATGCAAACTGCCCTAGTCAAGTTGTCAAAACAAGATTTTATACAAATGGTCAGATAAGGCGTGAAACTGCACATCTTACATTAGAAGGCTTGTAACAGTATCAGCAGTTTACAGATCCACATTGCCAAATTCTTCAAATACTAACCCTTTTTCCAGATTATTGAATTTTTTTTCTTTCTTTGCTAGAAATGCAGATTTAATTGTTTCACACTACTGTCTGTTTCACACTACTACAGCTGTTAAGTGTTTCACACTACTACAGCTACTGTCAAAGGTATTAATCAGTTGCCAAGTTTCAGTTTCTTAGATTTTTTCTTAAGACTTGTACCTAGAAGTATTGAAAATAATTGAAAGTGAATGAATGGAACATGAAAGAATGGAACATGAAAGAATAAAACAAAAAATAAAGTGTGTTCCTGAACTATGAAAAACAAGTAAAAAAATTCAGAAGCATTCTCTTGTAAAAATCTGCTTTATAACTTCAATGACAAGTCAACTAGAATGAGTATTGATTGATAACAAGTCAACTAGAATGAGCATTAATTGATGAAACTAGAGATGATAGCTTCTAAATATAAAAAAATAAATATGTAAAAACTATATACAATTTTAAACAAAAAGAAACAACCAAAATTATTATAGTTACTTATAAACTAGAAAATACTTTCTTGGAATACACAATCACATGTGTTAATATTGAAAAAAAAATTTAAATTTAATCTCACCTCAGATTTTTTACAATCTTTTACAAATGCACTATATAGACTTTTACAGATGCAAATTATAGACATATATATGCAATATATATTTTTACAGATACCATATATAGACTTTTGTATACGTAATATATAGACTTTTACATATGCAATATATAAACTTTTACAAATGCAATATATAGACTTTTACAAATGCAATATAAAGATTTTTCAAACATGTTTAATTCTTAAGAGTTTTAGTATATGACATTAATGTGAACTTGCAACAAAAGCTTATGACAAAGATTTGCTTAGAAAACAAGTGTACGCAGTTTCGGATTTGCATCCAGATGAGAATAAAAGCTTTATTGTCAATCATTTTCAAACGGAAAACAACCCGAAATTTACTTTGTATAATATACTAAAAAAATAGATAAAAAAAATAAATAAATAAAGAAAGGAGAACAATATAGGACCAAAAACAAAAGTTGGAAGTGATCACAAAGCAAAAAAGATGTCTAAAAATCAGATAAAGCATCTTAAAAAATTGATTGATCATAAAAATGGTATTTTACAGCATGGTCTTGCAAAACGATTTTTTTTTTAAATTCACCGTCCCAAGGCCATGAAGACCATTACAATTGAGGAGGCTACTTTTAGTTAGAGTTACAACACTCTCTCGACTCTCTAACTTCGAAACACGAACTTTGATGAACAAGGCTGCTGCACAGAGAAACAAGTTTAATGTATCACAACTGTACACCTGCAAAATTATCAATAAAAACACTAGTATTCTTTATCATAAAAAACTAAAAGAACACAAAACTAAAAGAACACTGGCGCAAAAAGCTTCGTTCAAAATGCTGTAGAATAGTTTGAATTTTTCGGAAGAAAAAAAATTGTTATAGACAATAAATCATACTTTTATTTAAGCAACAACAATATTTATAGAAACACTTGATTCTACTCTTTTAACAATAGGGTATTATATGATGTAAGGTATTTAAACATGAGGTATGGGGTAATGGGGTATCATATGATGTAAGGTATGTATGGGGTATATATATTAAAAATAATATGATGTATGGTATCATATGGTGTATGGAATATCATATGATGTAAGGTATTCAAACATGAAGTATGGGGTAATGGGGTATCATATGATGTAAGGTCAAAAATAAAAGACAAACTCAAGCCAAAATTACTTATTTGGATTTGCATCAACGAAAGGAATCTCTCATTACATGGTTTCATCAGGCCAGGCAGTCAATGAAAATAAGTATATTTTAAAATGTCTTGTCAAATTAGAGAAATTTATTGAAAAATATCATAAAAATGACAGTATCATTTTCTGTATCTAAAATCAAAAAATATTGAATTGGTATCAAAAGTGCAAAATCCTGCTGTGTGCCAGAATTACCACCAATTGAAGATTTTTAGTCTGAACTTAACAAACAAAGTATATATATATATATATATATATATATATATATATATATATATATATATATATATATATATATATATATATAAAAAGAAGCTATCCTAGGGCTGGGAGCCTATTCAATCACCAGACCTAAATTCAATTGGAAATTTATGGTTAATACCCAAAGATAAAATTAAAAAAAAGAATGTTTAATAAATACACAATTGAAACAAGAGACAACCCTATTTATGTTTTCTCTTGTTTTAATTGAGCAAAAGAGACATGGAATAGCTTTAAACCATTCCTCAGGGAATTGAAACAATCAATGGTGCAAAAGTTGCTATAAGTACTGACTTGAAATAAAAGAAATGACCTAATAAGATAAAAATAACATATTTCTGCCAACAATTATTTTGTATTCTATGTCTGGTAATACTTTTTGAATTTGTTAAAACAACATTTTATTATGCGCTAAATTTATTAATCGTGTTTTTTTTTATTTTCACTCAAAAATGTAAAAAAACTACACAATAAATCTTAGCCACTTTTTTTGGCTAAATATTTATAACATACTGTATAAAATATAGGTCCATACTGTATAAAATATAAAATATAAGTTTACACTGTATAAAATATAGGTACATAGAGTATATAATAAAAAGGCCCATACGGTATAAAATATAAGCCCTATATTGTATATAATATAGGCCCTATATATATAATGTATATGTATATATACATATGTATATAATATAGGCCCTATATTGTATAAAATATAGGCCCTTTATTGTATATACTAACTAAAAACCAAACATTTTAATGTTTTTCTGACCTAAAGAAATATTTTATTTGTTATTTTATTCACTTAATCATTGCAATTAATGTTGTAATAATTAATGTTCAACATTAATTAATGTTAATTAATGTTGAACTTCAATAAAATTCATTATTAAAGAAAAATTTTATAAAAATAGATAAAAAGGAAAATTGTCAATCTTTCCTTGGTCTTACATTAGGTTTTTTTTTTTTTTTTTTTTGATTGTGTGGTATTTAAAGATATAAAGTGAATTAAGGATTGCGAATAACAATCAGTAAAAGCCATTTTGCGATCTAAATATATTATATGAAGCAATCAGGATTGTTGATTTTTATATTCCTGGATCAAAGTTTTATGAAAAAAAATTTTTATCGTATTTTACCACAATGTCAACACAAAACAACGTGTTTAGACAAATATTATCAATTTTTAAAACTAATGTTTTTTTATATTAAGTTAAAAAAACATTTAACAAAAAAAAAAAAAAAAATATTTAAAATAGAATTATTGTATTTTTCAGACCCTGAATATCGCCAAGATTGTTTTTAAAGTTTGTTTTTATTTGTATATGCTTTATAGCTGATTAAAAGAGTTTTTATTTTTTCTTCAAAAATTTAATTAATATGTTAAAGTTAATTTGCTACTTGTATGGAGCTCCAAAAAGTCCTTACACACCTTAATGAGTTCTAAGAAGTCCTATCACAGAGCACCTGATCTTATCAAAAGCATCTAATAAAAAAGTTTATGCCTTCTTTTTTATCAATGCTGCTTATCTGGCAAGTAGCAGCATAAAACTGTTGACCTCTTTATTCTGAGCCAGAACGTTGTTGTAAGTAGGTTTATAACTTCAACAAGAATTAAATCGCTAAAAACAACCAAGATATATAAAGAAACATCTGTTAGAGATAATTTTTGTTTGCACATCGCAATAGAGGTGGGCTGCATTGGGTAAAGAGCTGAGGAGGTTGTGAAAAGGAAAAACAGTTTCCATAAACCAAATCACCTAAACTAACAAAAACAGATAGATATTAAGAATAGTTCTAATTAAAGATTATTTGTTCTTACTACATTTTAAATTTAGTATTTTTAATAATTTCTTTATTTTCATGGTTTATTTTTGTATTAGCAATATTTTTTAGGGTTTATTATGAAACTTTTAACACAAATACTATTATCATAAAATAAATATAAGATACTAAAATTACTCAAACCTTTAAAAAAAAAAAATTATTTATAGGGTTATTTATACAAAACTTCTATATGTTCTATATATAACTTTGTTACATGAAAAGCCATACGAAAAAATATCAAAACCGTATCTTTTAGGCATCTAAATATATATGTTCTATATATAACTTTGTTACATAAAAACCCATACGAAAAAATATCAAAACAGTATCTTTTAGGCATCTAAATATATACTACTTTTTGTTCAAGACATCAAAAAACCTAAGAAAAGTGTTATATCATTTTATAGTGTTATATTATATTAACATAAGTTATTAACATAAGTTATTAACATAAGTTATTAACATAAGTTATTAACATAAGTTATTAACATAAGTTATTAACATAAGTTAATAACATAAGTTGACCTGAATAACCCAAATAACAAATAAAGAAAAAAATTTAAATCTAACCTTTAGAACCAGACACCATGAGATTATCTTGAACATCTAATGATAGTACTGCATTATTGTGACCAGTAGCAGTATACATACAAACTAATACTTCTGGTTTTCCTTGAGATACTTTAGATGGAAGAATCTGTCCACTATAAACCCATGATAATTACTTATAGTTTATTTAAATAAAAAAAAGTAAAACACACAAAATCATAATAGATAAAACACAAAAAACTTACCATTTAAGTTGCCCAAAATCTTAACTCATAAGATGCAAAAATTATTAAACAATAAATTCAAATAATTTAAGTACACCATGAAATTTTGTACAAGAATATGTGATGTTGCTATCGTGAATAATGAAAACTTTGATTATGGTGCGACAAAACGATATTTATGGTGCGATAAAACAATATTTATGGTGCGATAGAACAGTATTTATGGTGCGATAGAACGGTATTTATGGTGCGACAAAACCATATTTATGGTGCGACAAAACGCTTTTAAATTGCTTTTAAAGTTATATTTAGTTTAATAGTCAGAAAAAATAATATTTTTAAAATATAAATATTATATATCAAATTTTCTATTATATTTTAAAAATTATATAAATTATATTTAAACATTTTAACTATATTTTAAATATTATATAAATACTATTTAAATCTTTTACTGTTTTAAATATCATATAAATTTATACTAATATATATTTAAAGTTTATCTTACATATAATTAATTTAATAAACTTAAATATTTAAACAATATAAACTATGATTATTATTTTAAAGTTTAAATTTTAAAATTAGCTACAAATGCACAAAACGTTTTATTTACAGTGTGTATAAAGTGCATTTATATTTTATTTTAAAGGGTAACTTACAGGTCAGGGTCACCCTCTGTGGGTAGATTGCTTGTTAGTCTTTTAAAAACATCATTTGATTCTGATTCCAAACTGGCGAAAATAATAAGCAGAGAATGTTAGGTAAAAATGGTAGCCATGAAAAAAACTGTAAGATATAAATTATTGGATTGGAAAATTTGAAATTTATTTTAGTTTTTATTTTTGGACTTTAAATAAATGTTTATATCAGTATCTACCTTTTTCAGTAGATATAAAGTTGCTTTTGAAAATATTTAAAATAAAAATGACTTACAGACTTGATGGCGTTGCATCTCCAATAATTTTTCTTTCATTGATGGGTGAACCACGAGTTGAGGATGGTCTTTTGGCAACAGCAGCTTTCAAATTACTAGTTGACGATGATTTCACAAAAGGACGAGCAGATTTTGAAATTTTTGTGTTTCTTGAAAAATTCCCCACAGAACCAAAATCATCATCAATACTTTCTGATAGTGAACCTGAGCGCATTTGCGAATTTAATTGAGTTGGAGCTGGTGGCGGAGGCATCTTTTTTTTATCTTTTAATGACTTTTCTAATTCAACAAGTTTTTGTAAAGTTTTTTCATCTAATTGAAAAGTTTCTGCTATTTCTTTTTTTCTATCTATAGTTTGTATGTTTTCTTTATTTTCTTCTGTATCATTTTTATTCTCCGGTTTCTTTTCTTTGGGATGTAATAGTTCCTCTGGTAAAGCAGTTTTTCTACGAGACTAATTATGTGCGTTTTTTTAAAAATATAAAATACAAAAAATAAATTGATTAAAAATTAAACAAAAAGACCAAAAAACATAAATAAATCATACTTTTCGTGTAGTTGTTACATTAAAATCAGGTAAAGGTTCTTCTCTAGAAAACGAAAAATAAATATAAACAAATGTTTTTGCTTTAATACTTTAAATATTTAGTATGTTTATAACATACTTTTACTTTAAATATTTAGTATGAGTATAAAAAACAAATAAATAAACTAGATATAACATGAATAAAAAAACAATTATTTTTACTTCAATATATATTTTTTGACATTGAATGTGGATGGTATAAAAACCTCCAGTGTTATGTAAGCAATAGTACTTTTTTTTTGTGTTACAAGTTACATGTTACATAAAATTTTTGTCAGGAAAACATGAAGACAGATTTCCAAAGCACTGAAGATCACATCTTAAAACTAAATATGACTAAATCCTAAAACTACCCGCTACTCATGAGCAAACTGCAAATATATAAAAAACTTTATTAATTGATAATCCTAGAAAAAAAAAAAAAGTAAACATAGTAAATTCTGGTTGAATGTTAAAAATATTAAAATGTTGCTTGCTTTTTTTTGAGGTGTTTTTAAGGTGCTCCCAGAAGGTCCTTATCACAGAGCACTGTGGAAGAGCATTTAACTAGGAATTTCCTTCCTTACTGATGTTGCTTATTGGGCTGAACCGAAGCTAGAGCCAAACTTTTGACCTCTTGGTTCTGAAACAGAACTCTATCCAATGGGCACTTTTAAACTTGATTTGTATGTTTTATCCTAGATTCACAAACATGGTTTAGATTTTTTTTTTTTTTTTTTTTTTAATTTTAATTCACCTCCTCAAGGCCGAGAAGGCCACTACAGACGAGGAGGCTACTTATTTGTGGTTATAACCCTCTCTCAACTCTATAACTCCGAAACACGAACCTTGACGATCAAGGCCGCTGCGCGAAGAAAAATATGGACCCAAGGGACTGACTTAGTTGATGAAATCTAACATACAACAATGATATGATAACTATGATAAAAAAAGATGGACCCAAGGGTCCATCTTTTTTTATCATTGTTATCATTGTAAACAATGATAAAAAAAGATGGACCCAAGGGACTGACTTAGTTGATGAAATCTAACATACAACAATGATATGACTAATTATCTATATAATTACTTTAAAGTACCAGAAAATTTATACTCAGACATATTGATGTGTATTGCCTGTAAAAACAAGTTATGAGTGATTTTGAGCAAGATATATAAAAAGCAATATAAAAAACTTGCACTTTAATATCTTGCAAATTGGTCAAAAATAAAAGTTTAATGAACATTTTTAAGTACTCATTTACTCAACATCTATTCATTCATTTTTAATCTCAAATGATGTAGATCTTAGTAATTATGAATCAGATGAAGAACCAAACTGAGTTGACAAAATCTATTCTTTTGTTTTTTAAAATTAGATTTTTAGGTTATTAACTTAGATTAATACTGTCCCAAACTTGAACCTCTTTTTTAAAAACTATAAAAACACTTAACCATCATTGTTTTTGCTTAAGAATCAACAAGTCTGTATAAAAATGAAATCTATTAAAAAATTATAAACTTAAACCAAACCTACTAGAGGCTTATCAAAAGATAATGTGTAATGAAACATAAATAAAGAAAATGCTGACTTAAAAGGGTGACAGCTCATGATAAAATCAATAGAAATAGAAATTATTTTTAAAATGGCGCTTGCCACCCTCATAATAAACTTTTAGCCATTATCAATTTTATTATGCGCTAACGGTAGATTACAAATGAAGAAGTATGTGTGTTGTTAGCAAGCATAAAGATTTGCATAAAGATTTGTAGAAACATTTTTAGAAACATTTATAGAAATTTAAACCAAGACATAAAAAAGTCTGTCAAAATATAATAGCTATTAAATTGATATACACCTGGTAAAAAATATTTAAATATTGTTTAACATTTAATAAAATATAAAAAATAAAACATAGAAAAAAAATGTATACATATCATCAGCATCTAGAATATCTCCTCCATGTTCAAGATTACAAGCATGTTGAAGTAACTGTTGTTGTACCTCACAATGTTTTTCCATTGCTTCTAATTTAATTTGAATTTCTTTGTATGCTGCATCCTTGTTTGCTAATTCTTGCGCCTATTCAGTATTGTTTTTTTTTTTTTAAATTTAACTTTTTTGTAATGAATTTAGTAAATTTATTTTAATTAATCAAAACTATATTTCATTATTATACAATTATTATATAATTAATAAATAATTATTGTGTTTACAAATGTAAATATTTAACAAAAATATTTAATATTTTAACTTTTTTCCACAAAATTTATCAACTTAAATAACAAACATTTAAAACATGAAAACTTTGACTTGATTAACATTTCATTGGTTTGAATAGATTAACATTTTATTGGATTGACTTGATGAAAATTTAAATGGTTAGACTTGATTACATTTTATTGGATTGGTTTGATTAACATATCATTGATTTGAAATTTTACAAAAAATAAATATTATAAATTTAAAATTTATTAAATTTATAACATTCATTTTTTTTATTGACATAATTGATGATACAATGACAAGTTATTAAAATTAAATTTTATTAACACTTATTACTACAGTGCATATGTGCACTACTCTAAGTGCTGACATCAGCAATTAAAGAAAAATCTTCTTACAGCTGCATTAAATTTACAATGGCGTCTATTACTTCTTGTTTGAGGATTAAATTTACAATGGCTATTACTTCTTGTTTGACGATTAAATGAAGAACACAGGAAAGACACATAATTATGTAAACATCGTAGAATATCACAAAACTAAACAAATGTATACTGTATTTTTTTTTTAAAGTTTTTTTAAAAAGTTTATTGAAAATATAGGAAATGAATTAAAAATTTTTTTTAACCTTTTTAAACAAGTTTCGTTAAAGAGGTTGTTGTCAAAAATTTATAATTAAATTTAAAATTCTAATTAAACTTTAATTTAAATTTAATTTTTAATTAATATTTTATAATTTTAACTAACAATATAACTTTTAAGATTTATTTTTAAATTTTTTAGTTTTAATAATTAGTATTATTAGGAATTTTAGATTCATTACTATATTATACAACTTATATTAAACATAAAAAAAAAAGATTACCATTTCAACAGACTTGCTATAAAAATGTTCCAATAAATACTTAGATTCTGTTAACGTGCATGTGTTGATGACATCTGCAGTATTAATTCCCTCTCCTTCATCCTTTATAAAAATTTAAATTTATGTGTTATACTAATTTATTTTATATATATATATATGTGTATATATATGTGTGTATATATATATATATATATATATATATATATATATATATATATATATATATATATATATATATATATATATATATATATATATATATATATATCCTAATAGTGTAGCCGAAAGAGACTTTTAATGTAAATAAAAGTCTCTTTTGACTACAATTTTGCTACATCAACAATTAAGCTACATTTTATTGTTGTCGAAATGTCAAAGCAATTAAATTAATGCGGAAACACATTAAACTTTATTGTTTTTTAAAAAAAAACGCAATAATAATGACAAGAAAGTTTTTTTTAATTAATGGTGTTTTTGTTGTTGTATTATTAAAATATATATTTAAAACATGCGCGGAGCGTTGCTACATAGAATATCTTATGGCCTGCTGATACAAGGAAGTGTTGCTATATTGGCTATCTTATAACCTGACTCGCAATGGAGTGTTGCTACATCAACTATCTTATAGCCTGACTCGCAACGGAATGCTTTTAAATTGACTGATGAATAGACTGATTCGCAAGGGAGTGCTGCTACATAGACTGAGGGTTTGGTTTGGGCAGGCAGTCTATTATTTAAGTAAAAGAAAACTAAGTTTTTCAACTTTTTTTGGTATGGTTTATTAACACGCTCTTTAAAACTACAATTTATGAGAAAGACTATATATATACATATATATACACACGCATATATGTGTGTGTATATATACACATATAAATATACACACACATACATATTTATATATATATATTTATATATATATATATATGTATAAATATATATATATATATATATATATATATATATATATATATATATATATATATGTGTGTATGTGTATATATATATATATATATAAAGATTATTATGTGTATATATATATAAAAATTTTTTTGCCGACCACTAACAGAGTTTAGGGCAGGCAATTTATTGCCAACTTCATTTTTTCTTATTACAAGGGCTGCGTAAGTATAAATATATATATATATATATATATATATATATATATATATATATATATATATATATATATATATATATATATATATATATATATATATATATATATATAGGCCTCTGCAAAAATAAAAACCACACAGGCTATGAAAAGCCCGTCTTAAATAGATTTGGTGGGCTAGGAGGGTCACCTGTCTCGATGATCTCATGTGGGCTTTTGCTAGCTTTAACGTTCATAGTGCCCTCTATAAATGCTAATACTGATGACTTTGCAAGACTTTTTAACTAGTGAAGCAATTCTTTTTTATATTGAATACAAATCTTACACCATATCTTCACAACAAAAACTGTTCCATTCTCCACCTCAGTCCATTTCCATTCTCACCATTTCGCCTGTCAAAAAGACTTAGACGGGTGTGGAGACAGGCACGAGCCATAGCCTGTCATTCCTGCCAAGGCCTGAATAAATATATATATTTTTTATTTAGTTTTTTTATTAGCATTCTTAAAGTACGTCATGCTAAATTTATTTTTTGTATAGAAGGATGACCATTTGCTCCTTCAGGCAGAGATTTTTATTCAATGTAAAGCACTTTTAAACTTAAATAACTTCTCTGCATGAAAATAATCTTTGCGTGAAAAAAATCTCTGGGTGGAAGCCAATAATTTTTTAAAGAATTATTAAAGCGAAAAGCTTAAAAGGAAAAAGATGCAAATTTTTTTTTCATTCTTTTTTTATCAACACAACAGCCTGGTTTTTATATTTGTTTTTAAAATGCACCAAGCTAACTTATTAATAATAATTTAAATTATTGTTTTGATCAACAATTTCATATTATTAATTTTTCTACTTTAAGTATATTAAAATATAGATTTCTAATAAATATAGATAATAAATATAAAAAGTTTTCTGATAGTTAATGAATGCTAATAGAAAACAGTAACTTTTTTGCTTCACTTTAACGGCCCTGAACCTTTTAAAGTTAAATTTACTTTGATTTGCTTATTGAATGGATAAAGTACTTCACAATAAATTTACTTATAAACTGAATCAAAACAACCAGTTAAATTACTTCAATAACTTACAGTTACTTGAATATTAACTTATCAACTATATTAATTTACTTAATATACTCAAAGACTAGCAAAAGTAAGCCATACAAATGTTTCAGCATATATCTTATATGTATGTAAATGAGTCTCCTACTCTTCATCTTCTAGGATTAACTCTTAATTCTGATCTTTCTTGGAAACCTTGTATCAAATCTGTTGCAAAATTAGCACCTGCTAAAGTTGCTTCTCTTTATTGAGCTTGTCACTTTCTTACTCTGGATTCTATTCTCTATCTCTATAAATCTCAAATCCGGCCTTGTATGGAATACTGTTGCCATATCTGGGGCGGATCTTCTAATGATGCCCTTTCTCTTCTTGACAAGGTGCAAAAACGCATTGTAAACATAGTAGGACCTACTCTTGTAGCCAACCTCTGTCACATCGTCGTAATGTTGCTTCTCTTTCTCTTTTCTACAAATACTATAATGGGCACTGCTCGAAAGAGCTAGCGCCTCTTGTGCCATCTACTAAAATTCATTCTCGTGTTACTTGTCATTCAATTGAGCCTCTGTAACAGAAGTAAAGAACAGTAACAGAAAAATCCTTTTTCTGTTACTGTTCCTAAGTGCTTCAAAAACTCTTATTCGTCTAGTTTTTTTCCTCGAACATCAGTTCTTTGGAATTCGCTTCCCTTATCTTGCTTTCCTGATTCATATAATTTGCAATCTTTTAAGTCGTCTGTCAATCGTTATCTTGCTCTGCAATCTTGACCTTTTCTTTTCCAGTAACTTCCAACACTAATTAGTGGTTGCTTGCAGTATTGTTGGAAGTGAAGATAATTAAAAAAAAAAAAAAATGTTGTTAACACATAATATAAGCTTCTAACTAAAAATTACTTTAATAGGAAATGTTAAACGAATATGAAAAACGCTATAACATTTTTTTATATTTAATTTTTATTTAAAGCGATATCAAGATTAAACATTTCTATAAACCCAAGTTGTTTTTAGAAATTTTTTAAAAAATTTATTTGAGCAAAAGAATTCATCTAAAAAAATTTTCTCATTCAAATATTTTTGTGATTTAAAATTGAAATTAAAAATTTTTTATTTTCAATTTTAACGTTCAATAATTTTAAATAATTGATAATAAATAATTTTGAATAATTGCATTGGCGTTTGTAATACCTAATGGCATAGTGAGGGTCATTCCTGAAAGTTAAACGTATATTTAGCTACAGTAACAATATCATGTTAAGAACAGGAAGAAAATTTCATTTAAATTGTAAACATTTTAAAGATTACATTTTTTTTATTTCTTGAAAATAGTTTTTTATACTAGAGTATATATTTACCATACTAGAGTATCGCCCATTATACTGGATTGGGGTCATTACATTTAATATTAAAAAGTAAAACTACTGGCTTTAAAAGTAACAAATCGACAAAAGACATATTTAAGATATTAAAAATATGTATGAATATGCGTTACTACGTTTCTTAAACATATTTTACATGTCTAGCGCCCACTGGGAAATTAAATGTAAAAAGTATTGAACCAAAATCAGACAAAAGTGAAAAAGCTGTTCAAAGTACTTTTTAGTTACTTAAAAAGTACTTTTGTGCTTTTCAGTTAAGTAAAAAGTACTTTAGTGCATTACAAAAGTCAATAAATCACACATAAACACATGAGAAATAAGATTCGGAATGATTATCTGCTCCAAAATTATGTTTTCTAGCAATTCCAGGCCAATTCTTTTTTGTTTGTCTTTGATCAAAACTTAAATTTTAGATAGATAATTTCTGTTGCAATTCTGCATTTACGATGTACTGATTGAATCTGCAATACATAGCATCATTCATGCTTACCACCAATGACTTGCAGCACTGAACAGAGCTGTTGAAATGAAGTTCCTTGTTTTAAGCAACTATGATTGGCAGCATGTATGCCTAATTTCACACTGCACTCTTCTAAGTCAAATTAAATGCTTGACTCAGTCATCAGTTTATCAGTTGTAATCTTTGTGACTTAAATACCTAAATCTGTTCTAGGATAGCTGCTAATTGTTTAGTTCAAGCATCAACATGCCAGTACTGCTGATTCTTTCTTTAAATATAACACTTTAATCCAATGTACAATATATCAATTGTCATACATTGGTTATATTAAGGTATGAACAATGATGAGCTGACCAACAGTCAGTAGTAGATGCAATAAAATCCTGCTTTTGCATCAACTGGTAAGTTTCTGGTGCGCGCACACACACACAAACACACACATATATAGAATTAGATAAAATTGTACAACTCATTATTTTTACTCAATTAAAAATAAATTATGTAATAGATGATATAAATAATAATTTGTAATAATAGACCAGTATGAATACTGGTCTATTATTACAAATTTCAAAAAGGGTTTCTATAGCTAAGGTTGTAGCTCATTCATTTCAAAATTTTTTTTAAAGTTTCATTTTAAACCCTCTCTGAATTCGAAAACTATAAAAGGAAAACTGTCGGCTTCACTAAAAAATAAATTAAGTAAATTGCTAGGATCAAACTTAGTATTCCTCACTTACAAATAATATATATATATATATATATATATATATATATATATATATATATATATATATATATATATATATATATATATATATATATATATATATATATATATATGTACAGGACTAGTTTTAAATAAAAAGTGCTTAATGCATTAGCTTAATATGATATTTGACATCATAAAATTCTCCTAAGTTAGGTTAAACCCAACCATTAACTTTAATTTAATTAAACATAAACTTTTTAAACCATTTATTTTTTATTTTTTAAACCAAAATTAAATTTTATATTTTTAAAATCTAAATTAAACTATATACTTTTTTTATCAGAATAAAAATATTTATATTTTTATTAAATTAGCTTTAATTATATATTTTTTATCAGAACTAAATTACATTTTTATGATCTTTGCTTAAGCTTAAAAAATCAATCATTACAATAAAATAAAAACAAAATAAAAACAAACTTTTAATTTTATTTGAGTTTTTTTTTCATTAGTAAATAGTGCTTATATCAAACATGATTGTCATTCAAACTTTTTTTATAAATAATTTTACATAAACGTCATTCAAAAGTTAATTTTTTTTAAAATTAATTAACTATATATTTTTATTTAAATATTTAAATAATTATTTAAAATTAAATAAATAAAATTAAAAAATAAAAAATACTTTTTTCAAAATTATTTACTTCTTTACTTCTATTTAATCTTACCGCTCATAGAATAATTTAGAAGATAAAAAATGATAAAAAGTTGCTTAACCAAAATCGCTTACTGCTTACGTAAAATCCCTTAAGGCGAACGTAAATCGCTCTATGCGTAACGCTTTAAAACAAGGTCTGTATGTATATATATATACACATACATAGTGTGTGTATATATATATATATATATATATATATATATATATATATATATATATATATATATATACATATATATATATATATATATATATATATATATATATATATATATATATATATATATATGTATATATATATATATATGTATATATATATATATATATATATATATATATATATATATATATATATATATATATATATATATATATATATATATATATATATATACACATATACACACACATATTTATAAATACACATGTACATATATACACCAGGAGCTATTCTAGACTATTTTCGACAGCGCTGATCATATTCGAACGCTGC